TGTTATGGTTCTGAAGTTAGATGCAATATAAAAAGGATTTATGTAGTGGGAAATATTATGACGTACTCACTCTTTTTTCTTTCTGCTGAATTATTTGAGAAGTTAGTTTAGTGATAATTGCAATATTAGCCAGTGCTCTCTTTGCTGTTCATTGCATCCAATACAATGTCTGAACCTCTTGCCCAATCTGTTTATTGTAATTATGCCTTTTGTGCTTTGTAGCCGGTACTGGGGAGAATGAGACGAGGCATTTGTCGTGCCCTTTTGTCAAGGTTGAACAGGAAAGGATACAACTCATTTTTCAACTGACTTCGTGCTAAGCAGCGCCCATTGAGTTGTTATATAAGATTTCATTTGTTACAAATCGTGTTTCATTGAATCTATTGTATCGTTATGCCATTGTATCATGATATCGCATTGAGTTCTTGTGTACATGCGTGCCAACATTGTCGCGTATATTAGAGCAAACGTCTTCACTGCAACGTAGTGATGTTGGTCGTGATACATGGATGTGCTGAAGTGTATGTGCCTGTTACTGGAATGTTACGAAGCCTTTGCGCTCTGCACTATACTGTAGATACATTTTTTTTTCTAAACAGCTACTTTCCTAGCAATTGCTGAGATTTTTGCAACGGGTGAGGCCCGCGGGACGGCTGTATGCTCTCCCATAGTAGAGTACCGAGTACTCTAAATCGTTAACCACTTCTTCTAAACACACACAGCTACTTTCTTCACCGAATCATGGTTTGTTGGCTCACTGGAGTAGAGTACCAAGTGCTCTAAATTGTTAACAACGTTTTCTAAACACACATACTGTGGAATTTTTAAGAGACAGCGTAAGCTCTCTATAGTAGAGTACCGAATACTCTATATCGTTGAACACTATTTGCTAAACACACATGTTATCTGCTTTATTCTTGTTTTTTTTTTCATTTGACTGCGAACGTGGTTGTTAATTCATATGTCGCAGCCCGAAGGTATTCGCCACGAGCATGCACGGTAATAAAAAAATCGGTTATTAAATGCACTCTACGATGTGTCGAGGTGCAGCTGGCCTCAAAAGTGAATATTAAAAAAATGTTATATAATTAGCTTTATTTATTAACTGATTAAAATCCACAAAAAATGCCACAACGAGCTTCACATGAGCGCAAATCTCATCTCTTTGATTTGTTTCAGTGGTGGTTAACCTTTTGTTTTGTTAATATTTGTCATACTTTTTTTTAAAAATACTTTTCGTACTTAGCAAATGTTGGATGTTTAGAACGGGACTACCCATCTATCTGACTTAAATGATATTCGTCATCCTTTTTAGGTCCCCATAAAATATTCTTATTGCTACGAATCTACAGATAAGCAGAGCTAGATGTGACAATAGCGAATATCGGTGATATTTGATATGTGGGGTTTAACGTCCCAAAACCACCATATGGTTATGAGAGACGCCGTAGTGGAGGGCTCCGGAAATTTCGACCACCTGGGGTTCTTTAACGTGCACCCAAATCTGAGCACACGGGCCTACACCATTTCCGCCTCCACCGGAAATGCAGCCGCCGCAGCCGGGATTTGAACCCGCGACCTGCGGGTCAGCAGCCGAGTACCTTAGCCACTAGACCACCGCGGCGAAGCAGAGGTGATATTTCGGTAGCGCTTCGTGACGCCTGAGACGTTTCCGGGTGGTTCAAACTTTTTCGCAGAAGAAATGGCAAAAGAGTACACGTTAGTGAATATGTTGCCAACGAACAATTTAAGCCAGTAGATAAGTAAATTACGAAAAAACGAGCGCATCGAGGCACGTTAGGCACAAGCGCCATCTGGCACTTATCTTCGAAAACGAAGGCGTGCAGCCCGCGGAGAAAGATGCGCGCCAGTCTCGGAGGTGATAAGGTGTAGAACTCAAAGCGACGGGCAGGTGGCACCACCATGAGTCGTAGCAAAGCGTTGGAAACACCTTTTTGAGCATCGCGCTGCACTGTCGGCGCAGCGCGATAAGCGCTACATTCTTTAGTGTTACTTGTGTGTGTCTCTTCTAGTATAAAGGCAGACATACAAACCTTCGAAATGTTGTTACGGCGCCTCAAATATGTGGAATAATTGCTTTTTAATTGACAATTGCACAACTATGAACGCTAAACCTTGAGCAATATCGGTGGGCGCTGCGAATGGGGTTGGCCATTTGGTGCCGTTTGAGGTATCGTTAGCGCGGACAATCAGACAAATGTACACACAGATCGTCAGACAGACAGACCAAAAATTCTCCGTCGAAGGTCCCCAAGAAAGACTATCATCTTTAAAAAATAGTTGCAGTATTATGTCTCCAATGAATTGCAAACGCGCATTCTGCAGTTATCGTCCTCACACGATGCGTCACAAACCATATTGCTACCAACGTTGTTGCTGCTCCACACCAGTGTGTTGACGCGGTGTTACGCAAACGGTCAAGTGCTTGCCTTGCCCACAAGGTAGGATTGCACAGTCGTATTTTCGCGCCATCGTGCGGAGACGTGTTAAACAGCGTTCTAGCAAGTAGACTTTCGAGTGCGAAAAGAGGAGGAGGGGGGCGGGTCAATCTGCGGAAGATTTCGGCGGCTGTTGCCATTTGAATGGTGGCATTTTCTCTAATATATTGATAGTCGAAAATGATTTGACGTCATGATTTCAACGTATCAATTATTACCAACCACATATTGACTAAATCCTGAATGCCGATTCCAAATGTAGTTTTTTTTTTCTTTTTTTTTCTTTCATGGTCATGTGGCAGTATCTAGTGATCTCACTGAGTGCCTCACAAAGAAAAAAAAAATGCTTGAGACTAGTCTTATCTATGTAGCTAACGAATACACTTAAGATTTACAAAACTTTAGTGAGTCTTGAGTTTGAATATGTTTCTTGATTAAGTCTAAGAGTATACAAATGATCTTTATATCCCCGAAATTAAATATATCTGGCTAAGCCCCTATACGGAACAGGTGGGCTTGATTGGTTATTTAATGCGAATAATTGTCTGCGTACTTCAAGTACTTTTGATGAAGTATTTTGATCAAGTATCTATCTATCTATCTATCTATCTATCTATCTATCTATCTATCTATCTATCTATCTATCTATCTATCTATCTATCTATCTATCTATCTATCTATCTATCTATCTATCTATCTATCTATCTATCTATCTATCTGTCTGTCTGTCTGTCTGTCTGTCTGTCTGTCTGTCTGTCTGTCTGTCTGTCTGTCTGTCTGTCTGTCTGTCTGTCTGTCTGTCTGTCTGTCTGTCTGTCTATCTATCTATCTATCTATCTATCTATCTATCTATCTATCTATCTATCTATCTATCTATCTATCTATCTATCTATCTATCTATCTATCTATCTATCTATCTATCTATCTATCTATCTGTCTATCCACTTACGCCTAGGCACTTTCGCGATCGACCCCTTATTTGGCATGAACCAAAATTAGTAATAAGAGGGTAAGATGGTTTGCCGTATATGACGCGCTGGTCAATACATGAATAATGTCATGATCCCGTCGCGTAAGCCTTCAAACACGTTCCGCCGGACGTGGCACATACCCGCTGGCGGGTACGTGTCTACGGTATGCGGGTATGTGCCACAGGTGATTGACACTTGGTATCTACCCAGGAACGTCAAGAGCACACACGGGTGATGCAACGCTTTAGAGTTAAGAAAAATCTGACATCGGCATGATTGACCTGACGAATGTAAAGAATAAATGTCATGGTCCAAGCAGGAGTCTAACCACGGAATTCTGCGTGGAAATGAAGTATTCTACCACGGAACCTCTCCAGGTCGTGGAAGTACTTTTCGAATAGGCCCTAATGTTCCTGAAACGTCAGTCGTGGTCCATGTGCTGGCTATTTAATTTTATAAACATTACACGTGTACTCCTACGATAAAGCCGTCCCGTCGAGTTAACGTCAATTATTGTTAGATTCCATGCGCCCTGCCACGGTGGTCTAGTGGCTAAGGTACTCGGCTGCTGACCCGCAGGTCGCGCGATCGAATCCCGCGGTCGCGGCTGCTGCATTTCTAATGGAGACGGAAATGCTGTAGACCCATGTGCTCAGATTTGGGTGCCCGTTAAAAAACCTCAGGTGGTCGAAATTTCCGGAGCCCTCCTCTACGGCGTCTCTCATAATAATATATGGTCATTCTGGGACGTTAAACCCCACATATCAATCAATCAATCAATCAACATTTGTGCTTATATTTAGCGTCATTTCATAACGTATCGCTCAATAAAAAATACAGCGCGGTCACCTGCCCTACGTATGCTTCACATAACGTCGATTTGCAAGGCACATGGGATCTACCAATTTTTTATATAAAATAATTGTTGTGCACAGTACAGGGTTGTCAAAAGTAATTGCTCAGCTTCGAATTTCTGCTAAAAAATAAATTAAAACTATGGAAAACGTGGTTAGGAGGAACATTAGCGAAGTTTATTATTGACAGAAAGCGAAATAATAGTTTTTCTTTTCATTATTTCCTTTTCGCTACGTCTAAGCTGGATTTGAAGTTCGCGGTAATATTGCCGAGTATCCCGTTCATTCCCGTCATCCGCACACGTTGCGCCGCTTCCTCTCATTCTTCTAGACCGCTGACGTTGTGCTGCGACTACACTTTCAGGTAAAATATGCGCTGCATAATTTTTATTGCAGCTCTTGCTTGCTTGAACCATGACTTACGGCACGTTATCAAAGGTGCTGATATGAGGGCAGAATTTCAGGAAGAAACAAGTTCAGCTTTTCACCACCAGGTATCTATTGCCGAATTAAAAACATCCAACCTTCCGACAAAGCATGTAGTGCATCATAACATTGTTATGGCTGTTAAATTTCAAGCTCTACTTAAGTCACAAATATCAAATAAGCTCAATACGCAGCTAGGAATGCATTTCTTTATGCGTATTTTTTATAGTTCGTATACAGTGACTTTTGCCGGTGTAGACGAGGAGCTAGCGTAGGGATACAATGCCAGTTCTGAACTCTCAATTATTTTTTTCTCTTGTGTCAAGATGGAGCCGTGCGAGACTATCGCGGCGTTGATGTGAGCCCCATGGGTGTGATTTCGCCCGCACGGGGTTTCGATCAACGTTCCACGCGCTCCGAAAACACTTGACCGTCATGGAAACCAGCGCCGGACTCAGGGACAGCGACGTGCGAGCCGAAAATGAGGCTCTCAAGCAGGAACTGGAGCGGCTCCATCGCGAGCTCGCCCAGACCAGCCACGAAAAGATCCAGTCGGCACAGTACGGTCTCGTCCTGCTCGACGAAAAGCAGGCCCTGCAGCAAAGATGCGACGAGCTGGAAGCCATGTACGACACCACCAAGCACGAGATGGAAATACTTAAAGAGGTAAGGCGCTTGGGAGTCGTGACGCATGGTGCATCTAACCTTTTGACGTGATTGGTAGGCGTGGTAACCGGTTCTGCACGAGTTCGCGACGCGATCGCCAATTTTTTTTTACGCCTTAGTTCTGCCTAACATTCCGCGTAACTTCGCGCCGTACGTTTCATTCACGCAATGTTACACGTGGATGCACCGAGGGTGATGCACAAAAAGTCCTGATGTATTAGGGTTAGGCGGCGCTACCGGTCCCTTTAATTTCTTTCCTCTTGCAGTGTTTAGCGCTTGTGCGTTGGCGATCCGGCGTGAAGGTCTCTTCGTCGATTTGTTATTAGCGCAAGATGGCTGTGGAGTTCTGTTTGGCGTGCATTGGCGCGTTGTGCCGATTACAGCGCGAGCATTTGCACTTGATTTCCGTCACGGCAAGCAGGTAGATGCGAAAAAAGAAAAGAAGGAATGGAAACAAGAAGTAACTTTTGGCGTGCGAGGGACGCCTCTTTGTGATTATAGCAAGTAGGGCTCCCATTTTTTATTTGTAGTTTATTTACGAGGAGCCGTAATTAAGAGAGCCGCCCTAGAGACCACTTGAACGCATCTAGGTCGCGTGGAAGTGTTGCGAGCAACTCGTGACGCGTTGACACCGAAACCGTAATGTTCCGCGTATTCTTACGCGCTCCTGGCAGTGCACGATCCTTCCTGTGCAATAAAAAATAAAAAGAACGAAAGTGACGAATCTCGCGGCGTTATTGAAAGCTCAACTTCTCCGTGTTCCCGAACTGTAGATGATTGCTTTTCCCTATTGTCGAAGTTGAGTTCGTAGTTGCTTGCTTATTTAAGCTTCTCAGATATTTTAGAGTAAAATGAATGGTTGGCAAACCAGACCAAACATGCATGCTTCTTGCATGTAGCTCTCATGACATAAAATGTTATGAAAAGCTTTTGCCAATGTTCTAGTTTGGTCATTTGCTTTCAAGTGTTTGTGTGACTGCGCTCAGCCGGCCGTAACAGACCCCATAATACAACTAATTCATAAGTTAATGTTTTAAAAATATCACTTCTGTAAGTACAGGCTTGACGGATATTCAAATCAAAAGTGTTGACTCGGAATTGTTGAGTTTCTGAATTGCCCTGGATAGAAATATTGCGAGAGCCTCCAAGTTCTCTGTATAACAATCTCAGCGACATTCACTGCCTGCTGCAGAGTTGTTTGGACAGGGGATGTCAAATCCTAGTGCAATTGGTGGCAAGTCAGCTGGTAAGAGAGATACCGATGTGGCATGAAATGAGATTAGATTTGCTGCCTTTGTTGTGCAACATTTCGAATAAGCAAATAACAAAGAAGCTGAATCTTGATGAGGCTCGACTGCGATTCAAAGTGTACCCTGTGACACCCATTTTGTGAGTGATCTTAGCATTGCCCCATTTGAATAAATGTATCCAATAGTTGGAGTGCTCGTGGTTGCCCTTCATTTTATGTCTTCATGTGCGTTCAAGGACAACTTCAGCTATCTTTTCACCTTGTCAATGCGGGGCCCATTGTCGCACGACTGGTACTAGAAATGCTGAGCACATTTAAAATGTCTTCTCTACAGATATTGAATAACTAAAACACCGCAAAGCTAAACTGAAACCAGACCGAATGGCACTGCCCTCTCATGATGTCCTTGTATCATGCGAGGACAGCACTGTTCTCATGTGACGTATCAAGGGGCAAGAAGCTAGAAAGAGTGCAGGGAATATATTAATTTGTTCTGTTAACCAATGGCTCATGAAGAATGGCCGTAAGAACAGTACTGCCAGAGCACCCTTTTCAAAGAAGACGCATGAAATTAAGAGCGAGACTGGGCAACTTGAAGTTCAGAATACACACTGTGTTAGTAATAAAGGCATAAAAAAAAAAACAAGGAAACAAAGTCAAGATCTACATTGGCCACCTCATCAAAAGCCACTTAATATAAAAGTGGCAAATAAAGGACGCATTGAGCCACGCTTATGTGGACACTCAATATGTCATCATAAGCACTGAATTGCTTGTGCATGTAAATGAGCATCTAATAAAAAAAAATAAGTTGTAGATACACGAAAAGGAAATAAAATGTGTATATACTGCACATAGTGGAACTGCACATTGATGACAGTGTAACCAAGCTTTGTACACGAGCAGAAATGATGGTCCGCTGGTGCTAGATGGACAGGAGGGAACACCCGTATCGGCTCACCCATCACTTCCATTGGAAATCAGTGCGTGACCTAATTTGACAGTGATGGCTTTGTGATGATATAACATGATATCATGCTTTCAAGCTGTGCTTCCGAAGTTGCATGGAGCATGAATTTCACATTCGTAAAATTTTCGGCAGGCCCTCGCCAAGGTGCAGACAAGTCAGAAAGTGTCCACGACCACAGGCATCGAACAGGAAGAGAGCCTTCTCCAGGAAACTGCAACCAAGGAAGCTTCACTCACCTCGTCTCTCCAGGAATTGGAAAAGGAACTGAAACAGGTAAAACTCTCAGGGCTAACTTGGGGCCATCATGCCAATGTTTCTTATGTGGGCATTCTATTTCAAGTGTTGCCAAAACGTGGAATACACTGACTTGATCACTTTCAGCATACAAACAGACTGTAATCTCACGCATTTGCTTGTAGCAAGTAGAAAAAAAAAAGCCAGTGCTAGCATCTCAACGTAGTGCGTATCTTTGCCGTTTTTGAAGTTGCAGCCACATGTTATGCTTGTGAGACCTAAAACTTCTCAAGTGAGAATCTTGTGTGAAGTGCTCGTGATATATTTCAAAGTTTGTTTTAAAGTCAATCTTCAAAGCTCTTGTCTGGAGTTGTCTGCTTTATGACAGTGCTGCCATTTAAAGCAGAATCAGCAGTTTAGCGTTATAATAGATGTGTGCGATGGCATTGCTCACACAGAAGCGGACTAGTGCTGCACAGAATTTTTAGCAATTGTAGGAACAGAGTGGGCCAATGTATGACCACGTCATGAACATACGTCTCCTTGGTGCACAGACCGGGGCTGGCTCTTATACACAGCTATTACAGCAAATCGTTGACGCCTCCCATACTTGTTTTGAAATTTCATTCTTTTAAAGTTTAAAGGGTTGTGGGACAACTATGTATGCACTAGTCCAGAAAAGGGTTTCATCACGGTTTAAGGGAGCGCTAACACAAAATTTGGCACTTTTTTTTTGTTGCAATAGGTAGCTTATGACCCACTCTTAATGGCTAGAAAGCTCGTTAGTATGACGGTTATTTATTTAGAGACGTTGTTAGATCGTCCAGTTGCAGTCTTGTTTTCAAAGAGCACTGAGCTGGCCAGGAGTAGTTCTGGTAGCAACGTAAATACTGCTGGCCACGTCACCATGTCAAACTGTGATGTGTCAGCGCCTGCGCCAGCATATGTGAGTGGACGCTTCACTGACAGCCAGCACACCCAAAGCTGCATGCTAGGGGTAAAAAATTGCAGGTAGTGCAAGCGTAAGGCACTTGCCATTAATCAGTCAGCACAAGCTGATGACGTAGGTTAATTTGCACTCCTGCCGGGTTGATGATGTTGGTGTCATAAGGAGCTCCGCGTCTCTCTCAGTCGTGTACTTTAAAATCGATTTTGAATATGTTTTGGGTTATATTTACCCTTGATAATTCATAGATGTGGTGTATGCCCAGATGAATATATCTCACTTACTATCTTGCCTCTGATGTTTTGTTTTAGTGCCAATTCAGTTAAAGGGTTGTTACTTTTGTCTAACACGAAATAAAGATAAGTAAAAAGTGTTTTGTCAATAGTATTTGCTTGTGTCATTTGTGTGGATCACAAGTCAAAGAAGTGTTGTTAGGAGGGGCCAATGCGCTGTGGTACTGAGTTCCCTTTTGTTTCTCTTTGCGCAGTGGTGAATTCTTTACCTTACATTGGCTGGGAATTATAAACCTTAGTGCTGAGCAGTTTTCGTGTTTGTTCTTGAGATGGTATTATTTCTTGAGATGGTATTATAAATTGATTATTTTTTAACCTTATATCCATAGAAAAGCGTGCAAACGAAGGTATAACCCTGGGCATCTGTGATGAATCTATGGAATTGAAGGAGCTGTTGCGCCCTGACAGATTTCTTCTTGCCTGCACATGTTCAGTCGTCATCGCTTTAAACGCTACCCCTAGATTTCATTGTAGGCATTTGAGGACTTTGTCGAAGCGTCAGAGCCCAGAGAAATAAAACATCAATATGTATGTGCTAGTCATGGAAAACAAAACAATGAAAGAAAGAAAATTACACAGGGAGGCTTCGTTCTTGCGACATTGTTAGTCATTGTTCCATGCAAGGGGCACAGAATACGCGAGTAGTAGTGCTTCTTTTTTTTTTTTTTTTTTTTGAAAAGTATATACTAGAGGTGTGCAATATAGGTGGAGATGCAAGTCAATAGTAAATACAGCAATTCATGTTGTATCAGATCTAATTCAATCCACATCCTAAATAGTTCAGTCAGTAAGTCAGTACATATAGGTCAATCTTATCCAAACCACATCCTAAGCGGCCTGGGCTGTAACCATTGTAGTGAACTAGAATATATTCCAGTGGCGGAACCAACCATGCTCCAGCGTGTTCCTTTTACACAGATGCCACGAGGTGGTATGTTTTCTTACAGCTTTGGCTGCATTGTATGACAGTCGTGAGCTCCTTTAAACAGTTTGGGGCAGTTAATTTTAGCTCGTGTGTTTGCTTTCTGGTTATTTCAAACATTAAACAGCCAACTTGCTTAATCTCTCACTCCGAGGTTTCATTTTGGTCAGATATACATATTTTTTTTCGTATTTACCGCTTGTGCTCAGAACATTCTCAGTACTTGTGGTACATTTATTTACTTATTTTTTAGGAATGCTTTATTTTTTCCATCACTCAAGGGTCTGTTTCGACTGCACAGTTTTTTCGAAGCAGATGTAAGGGTCATGGAGTTTGCTTCAAATCATCATGGAAAACCTGGAAAAGTCAGGGAATTTCGAAAAACCAAATTGGTAGTCATCCTGATAAAGCGTGGCTAACTTAATAGTACAAAAAAAGGCAGTTGTTATGGTATGATACACTTTTGCAACATGACCGGAGATTCAGTATGACTTCTTAACGCAGCAGCAGGATGAGGCAGGTTACTGCAGTATTTTACTGCTTGAGGAAAAAAAAATGAGGCTTCAATAGCTACAGTTCGTGTTCGTGGAGGTTAGACTTGTGTTTGGCGATGAGCCGGATGAAGAAATGAAGTTTACACTAGTCGTGCAAGGCTTAAGAAACAGCAAAGCCAGTCGATATTAGGGGCTTTACATGGCCTTTTCAGCTGATGGTTGGTCTAAACGTAAATGAAGTAGAACCGAACCACAGTCTGTCGGAGACCTCGCTGGAGTGTTGTCACTCCAGCGCCAAAAATTAGTGTGCAAGGCAGGCCGTAGCACCCTGGTAGAAGTGTGGTCCTTTCGTTGTTCGTACTCGGCTTGCACCACGGTGACCTGACTCGGAGCAGCGGCTGTGCAAACTGTCTTTGTCGGTGGGTGCGTAATTGCGGTTCGCTGCTTCTCAGCGCACGCGTGGCTTGGCGAGAGGGGTTTTTTTGCAGATGCTCAACGTTTTTGCCTTGAGCCTTAAGAGCTATGCTCTTAAAAGGAGCATGCACTTTGTTGATAAGAAAAAAAAGTGAAGCAGTTTAATTAGTGCAGCACTACATCTGTGTCATTTGCCATGTTCACATGCAAAGCTGACATGTTTCAGTCTGGGGGAGAGAGGGGGGAAGAGTAGGAGCATTTTATGAGACAACTGGGCCTGTGGTTGAAGTACGGCTATTGCGCAACATGTTTCATAGATATATTAACTCTGGTTACGTGACACTTTTCCCCTCGCAGGTTCGCCAGGAACTCAGTCGGGTGCTGGCCGAAAAGGAGCGCCTCCAGAATGAGAACTACGAGATAATGAAGCATGGCGATGTGTCGGACTGGGAGCGCAAGAACCTGCGCTCGGAGCTGAAGGACATGAAGCTCAGGGAACAAAGGCTGCTCACTGACAACAACGAACTCGAGGAAGAGAACATCTCGCTACAAAAGCAGGTCTCGTCGCTGCGGTCATCACAGGTCAGCGCTCCTTTTAAGTTTCCATACAGACTGAATGCATGTATGTATGTAAGCTTCTGAAAAGCTGGAAGAAGCCAGCATGTGTGTTAATCTTGCAAATCACAATAAACATGTATATAATTAGTGACCAGGCAATAGGAATTACACTTGAAGCATCTATACACAAGTATGAACTATTAGTGTCGATCTATTTATTGAATATTCTCTTTCTAAAAATGATCTGGTTATATTTGTGGTCTACCTTGTGGCTCAGTGACTATCATGGCTTATGGTGCTGAACATGTGGGCATAGGTACGATTTGTAGCCCCAGCCGTATTTGGATATGGACAAAATGCAAAAACACCTGTTAACATCGATGTAGCCCCAAGTCTTGAACCGAGGCATACCTGAAAATCGTTCGAGCACATGAAACTTCTAAACAGAGAGCCTTGGATATCTGTGTTTCAAGATTGATTGCATTGTCTAATAAGGCGTGCAAGTGCGTGAGTTACGTGTTCGCTTTGCCTTTGTGGTGTTTCTGTGAATGAAAAGAAATTATGAAATAGAGCGGCGTGTGTGTCATTCGGCTCATAGACCATTTTCATGCACACCAGCGCCATGAACGGGCAGGCAAGTGCTCGCTGGCAAAGTTCATACACAGCAACAGCCACTGTGACGACGAGTGCACGGTCCTTACTCTTTACCTTTTTGTTTCGCGCCATTGCAGGACTTCTTGAGTGATCTTGGACACTAAGGAATTTGGCAAGGTGCTACATATTACTGCGTAATTGTATCCCGAACTTCGATGCTAAGCTACGAGGGCTCTCGGCTATTTCCATTGGTCCACTGTAGGATCTGTTGAGCGGCTCAGAGGCATCACCTTTTTTTTCCTTTATGCCAGCGCTTTACGGCAAAAAATGAAATAAGAAAAGCAATACAACGCGATCACCTATGAGGTGCACGAGTGGTCTTAGATTTGGGGGTCCATTTGGAACCTATGTTCACTGATATTGTCAACGAGTAGAATGTGAGGGCCTGATTTTTCAAGAGTACTATAGAGAGTATAGTTGGCATTTAATACAATAAGATGCATTCACTGAACAGCGTGCATGTCGCTCGTACCATATAGTACCATATAGTAAAAGCTCGTTAATTCGGATTTCACGGGACCGGAAAAACTGTCCGAATGAACCGAATGCCGAATTAATGAATGAACAGGGAAAACAACATTTAAAATCAAGCTGCAGAAGCATACCTTTATTTGTTGAAGTATTTTGTAATTGTCGTCTGCGTTTTCGCGCAGATTCCGGCTGACATCACAATTTTTCTTAACTGTTCCAAATGGCCAACAGCACGCAAGCTGTCGGGAGTGTTCAGGCAAGCGTCCGCTAATATTAACAGCGCCTCCGAGACTTCCCGTGAGGTGCGATGAGGTCGCGGCTGTATCTCCTCGCATGATTCTTTGTCGGAATTGTGGTCTTCATGGGCGGCCGTGACATCATTAATAATCTCTTGATCGATCAGGAGACCACTCGTGGCGACACCATGATCAATAGCCATATAGTCCTGAAAGGTCACATCTGTGGGAAGGACAGCAACGAAAGTCGGGCAGTCATCGTCGGTGGACTTGGCTGACACCTCCTCGATGCCATCGTCAGCTACTGCTGCATGCTCGGGCCTCACAAAACCGCTGTGCCGAAAACAGTTGGCGATGACTTGCGGCGGAGTGTTTTTCCACACGTGGGCGATGATGTGCACTGCGCCGAGTAAGTCCACTTGATACAACTTTTCAGCTTCTGAGCATAGGATCATTCGCTCTAGCAGGTACTTGCGGTACTTCGACTTCACGTAGTGAATGATACCCTGGTCCATCGGCTGAAGAGCAGACGTAGTGTTGGGCGGCAAAAAAACTACTTCGATGCTCTTCAGTTCGACTGTACAGTTATGGGCACCGCAGTTGTCAACAACCATAATTATCTTGCGGTCCTTTGACGTGAAGTGCCGGTCCAACTGCTGCAGCCAGCCGCGAAAAATATCCAATGTCATCCATGCCTTCCTGTTCGCTTTGTACTCGACAGGAAGGCTTTTGACATTCTTAAAACACTGTGGCTTAAGCGCCTTCCCGACGACAAGTAGTGGAAAGCGCTCCGTGCCTGTCATATTGGCGGCAAGAAGCACAGTTATCCTTTGCTTGCACTTCTTGCCACCAATGCACGCGTCCCCTTTGAAAGTCACCGTCTTGTCGGGCAGAGCTCTGAAAAATAGAGCAGTTTCATCTGCATTGAACACGTCACGTGGTTCATATGCGGCGATGTGCTCCAGCAGCTTCACATTTCTCCTTTCGGTGGTCACGCTTTCGTCAACACTGGCCTTTTCGCCGCACACACTCCTGAAGACAAGTTCGTGTCACTCTCGAAACCTCGCAAACCACCCTTCTGACGCTTTGAACGATTCAAAAAATTTTAAAAATGAGGGTGCGGCATGCATGTCGTAAAGATGCACAACATGTCAAACAACGGCAGCGCGTGCTTACAGTTGATTAATATAGTCGAATGGTGTGCCTTATAACAACTGCGAAGGTCGACTTGCACAAAGTGTGGCAATATTTGTGACATAATATGCCTATTTGTGACATATGTGACATAATATGCTCGCATCAATTCGGCGGTTGTAGGTGGCTCAGGCGTTGGTTCCTCATTTTCGACATAGGAGTCGTATGAATCCGCCATAACCTGACTGACTATTTCGTCGTTGGTTAACTCTGCGCAGAAGTCGAGCTCGTTGTCAGCGTCGACGAACCACTCAAAAGTTATTTCCGTGGGCATGGAAGCACCAGCAAAGCGGAGGTCGTTGATAATATCGTCCATGAGAGGGAACAAGTCAGTCACGCTGTCGCTTTCTTCAGGCAAGTCTGCTGCCTTTGTGTCGAGTACGAAGCCCGCGTGGCGAAAGCAGTTGCGAAGCATGTCTTGCGTTACTGCCTTCCATGCGTCCACAAGCATTCCGACAGCAGACCGAAGGTCAACGCTGTAGCCTTTCCCCTTTTCCGAGCACAGCACCATGCGGTTGAGTATACGTGATTGGTACAAAAGTTTCAGATTACGGGTAACGCCTTGGTCCATCGGTTGAAGGATCGCAGTGTTGGGCGGCATGAATTCCAGCTGGATAGTCTTCAAGTTATTGATGTGACCATGAGCAGTGCAGTTGTCAACGAAGAGCAGAACACGTCTGTTTTGTTGTTCAAACTTCCTGTCCAATCTGCGGACGTAACTCTCGAACAACTGCTGCATTACCCATGCCTTTTTGTTGGCTTCATATAACGCCGGCAGCGTTGCCCCTTTAAAGCACCTCGTGCTCTTGGACTTCCCGATTATTAACAAAGGAAGTTTCTCGCTGCTAGACATGTTGCTACCGACAAGAACGGTCAGCCGTTCTTTGTTATGCTTGTCATCATGGCATGCGTCACCAGCAAAAGCAAGTGTTCTTTCCGGCAGCAGCTTGTAAAACAAGCCAGTTTCGTCGCAGTTGAAAATGTTGTCAGCAGAGAACTGCTGCGACAAAGACTGGAGTTTTCCCACTGCGGTACTGCGCAATAACTGCACTGTCGATGGCGCCGCTTTCGCCACACATCTTCTTGAACTTGAGGTCATTCCGATGTTTAAAGTTTCTCAGCCATCCATCACTGAACTTAATATGCGTGATGCCCATTCGAAGCGCAAGAGTTTCCGCTTTTTGTTTCAAGATGCAGCCCGAGACTGGCAACCGCTTGGCAATTATTGAATTAAGCCGCACGACGAGAGCGTCCTCAAGCTTTGGCTGAACACCTTGGCTGGCCTTCATATTTTGGGCACCAGACGGTTTTTCGGCCGCTTCCAAGATCTTGTATTTGTTCCTCAAGAAATCGGAAACTGTTTGCTTGGAAATGCCGAACTCCTTGCTCACGTCAGCCTGCGATCGGCCATTCTTCACTAACTTAATAATGGCGGCTTTCTTCTCCATAGTTAACCGGCGGTACTGTTTTCCGCGCTTCGATGCCATCGGCGAGGACGACGAAGGCGAAGTGGAGGCCATCGCAGGCAAGCGAAATCCTCACGATGTGAACAAAGGAGTTTGCTGACTAGCGTCGAAGCCCCTAGGCTTAGCGTTGCTGAGCACACTTCACACGATCACACAACCACGCACTAGGCTAGCCAAACACCATGTGGGCTGTGTAAACAAAACGGCACGATGGCAGGCGACAGTGCCTCGGGTACTCCGGAGGTGGCGCTGGTAAACATTCACGATAGCCAGCGTGGCCAGACCAAAGTCGGTGTGTGACGGTTAGTTCTAGTTCGAAGTGGTGAAACGCTTCGCGAAAGCGCTGCGCGGAGCCAGAGTGGCACGCACGAGCACAAGTGCTAAAGCGAAAGGAACTTTATTGGCGCCAAAAAATTTCCGGGTGGATAGTTTTCGATAATCAGCGAAGCACCCTTGCACGATAAACACGGCCAGTGTTAGGAATCTCGGAGGCCGTGTGTGTTTCTCCGCTAACGATCAACGAGTCCAAGCATCAGATGCCGCCACAGTAGACCGGCGCGCTCATTTATGCGATCGTAATCACGTGTGACGCAGTTGTGGTAGTTTCCACTGGAGGTCAGTGGTGGTTTCCGACCTTCAGTCGTGTCAAAAAGACCGGAAAATTGCACTCCGGGGGGTTCGAGCGTCCGATATATCAGACTTCCTTATACATTGATTTTATGGGGCTCGTGGAGGGGCTGCGAAGATGTCCGAATTATCCGGCATGTCCGAAAATTCGGGTGTCCGAAAAATCGGCAGTTGACTGTAGTTATGTCAATCAACTGAAGTATTTCTAGCTTCTTCATTGTTCATGGGTGAGGTGCATCTGTATTTACTTTTCTTTGCCATGCGAACAGGTTTTCATGAACTGATGCATCGATAAGCAGAATCCCCTTCCACCTTTCCTTTGAGGCGATCAATTCGCAGCTCTCATCTTATCTGAGCAAGTTTTTTTCTTTCTATGCTGTGCATAGCTAGATGCCACAATTCCTTGTTTAACAATATTCGAATGTGCTGACGCGAAATTAAAATACTGGTTTTGGTGAACCCACAAGGAAACTTTAAGGCATGTACCAAGAAACTGTAAAAATTATCAGAACAAGGAACCTCACAAAGGAATCCTAGTCCCATTCCTTTTTGTGTAAATGCGTTTATAATGTGCTCACTTCTTTGTACAGCACCTTACTTGTGAACTAAAATGAAACAGTAATCTCTGTAACTGAACACTAAAATCTCCCTGCACTCTAGTTACACTCAATCAAGGACAATTAATTGTTCAGCTTGTGAACAAGTAGTTGAATAATTGATAATTCGGTACTCCTGCTCCGATAGCTGCATGCATCGATGCATGCAGTTATCACTGCATGCATCGGCATGTGATCATTAATTCGCGTGCCGCTTAACTGCTGCCTCCTTTACACATCCGCTTGGTTATATGTATGTTGACTCCATCTTTCCTAGTGCATTTCATGAGTAGATATACACGCAGGTACGTTCAGACATGTATATTATTTTGGATGTAATAATAGCCTTTCATTTTTCTTTTTCGTTTGGTGCTCCCACGGCGCCAACGAGCGGCAGACGAGGGAAAAGAGCAGCAAACTTGACTGGTTAAACGTACGTGCTTCTGCCATAGTGCTTCGTGCACCTGCAGGGTGTTCTGGGAATGCTTGAAAATGGTCTTTTGAAGGCTGTGGAGTTGTGCGGGAAGGGCAGTTGATGGAAGATGCTGAGCCAGGGCTTAGTGGATTGTGTGGTAAACCGAAGGGATTTGCAGTGCCTGAGGGGGCTCGACCGGCATGAAATGATATGGTAAAATTTCCTACATTCCTTCAATATTTAGCAGGGTACATATAGGCCATCAAGTTGTCCTAGGCTTGTGGGTAATTTTTTAGGTTAAGAATAAGAGCAATGGCAAATGTTATGATGGAGTTTAATGTACAGAGCGAGATATGGCAGCTCGATTGTTCCCGCTTTCCTATCTGTTTTAGGTGGAATTTGAAGGTGCCAAGCACGAGGTGCGTCGCCTCAAGGAAGAGGTGGAATCCCTCAATGCCCAGCTCGAGGAACTAGGCTCGCTGCGTCGCATCGGCGAGCAGCAGCTGGAAGAAGCGTTGGAAGCGCTCCAGTCGGAGCGCGAGCAGAAGTACGCCCTCAGGAGGGAGCTGGACCAGCGGCTGACGGCAGAGTCGCCTGTGTTCCACCTCGACGGGCTATCCTTCGCGGGCTTCCGGCTTGGAAGTAAGCGTTCCCTTCCCCACCCTCTTGCGCACCGGTCTAATGTTCGCGAGCCACTGGCATCGTTGCGTGCTGGCTCGCGCTTTAATACGGTGGCGGGAAGTGGCGACCAGGTGCCTTGCACGAAAGCTAAGTGCCGGTCGCGGGGCTCTGTGTCTTCCGATTCGGGGTTTTCTCTCCGGCTTGGTCCGAGGTCTTTGAAGCTTGGGAAACATAATGTTGCCTCGCCTGCTGGGTTGTCCTTATGTGCCTAGGTGTGGTGCGCGATATTCTGGTTCACTGGTGCGTGCTATCTCACCTCCTCTTTCTCGTGGTGTTGCGACACGTTTGGCCACCCCTGCATGTTGCCAGTATGGTGAAACGGTCGGTGCCTCGCTTAGCACCATTCCGGATGCCAACTCATCCATGGACTCTGGTTTCGGCAGTGACCGGTCTTCTCATTGCGGACATCACGCTTTGCTGCATGACTGTTATTGTGAGGCAGTTTCAAATGAATACGCCGCACTTCGTATACATAGCTGCGGAGAAAGGTTGCGGGTCGGCAATTCGTGAGGAAGCCAACACACCGTTTTATTGTCAGCCGTGCTCGTCTTGCCCATGTGACCAGCATCATTGTCACACTGTCAACCACGTGCCTCATGAAAGGCATGACTGCAAGTTGCAATCTGGGAACCTTTTGTGCAACACGAATGAGAATTCGCAGGTGATAGACAGCTACAGGGGGGATAGTGCTGGAAATGCTGGAGGGGCTGCAGATATGTGTAAAGATTGCACTTGTGAAGACGCGCTAAATTATAGAAGCCCCAATGCTGGGGTGCAGGCATCCCTGTCAAAATTGATTTCCAAGAAGAAAGCTCATTCTTTGTCTCAGATTCAAGGCAAACGCTCAGATCTTGGACAGTATGCCACAATTAGCAAAGCAAGTCTCCAATCCGCTTCTTGCCCGGTGAACAGCTTCGCAAAGCAGACGACAGCCTCTGCTCTGGAGTACACTCACAATCATGAACGCAGCTATGAGGAAGCAGAGGATGACACACAAATTGACAATCACAGCCGTAGCGCTAAGCCTAGTTCTGAGCTTCCAGGCCAGTTTTACCACTCCCCAAACTACTGTGCGGGTACTGACGACTCTTCCTTGGCAGAGAAAGATAGAAACGAAGCGTTGCAGAAGCAATATTCGATGGTAGCTGGAGCTCTGTATCTTCCATTTCGCCCATACGTCAGGACAGCTTCCTGGATACACACTGGCCCTGCAGTGCTTCCGTTGAGGGCAGTGTAGTAGGCGATTATCTGCCGCACCCAATGGCTACCCGGAATGGCTCAATCACTTCTTCCAAAAGTACAAAGCGCCATTCGTGGCACTGCAAGGGACGCAAGGCAGTGTGCAAGGTGTCTTGCGCAGTGGTGGATTACGTATTTGCACCATGATGTGTGTGGCACAAGCCTGTGATAATTAAAGCCCAAGCATTTTTCCTCTGTAGGCACATTTTACAAGTGTACAGCGTGAAGATTAACTCTGAGCAAGCGCGCATTAGCTCTACCCATATAATTCCTAGAAAGCTGTGCAGAACATTTCATATAGCGATTTAACCATTGCCATTAGCGAAACTGCCATGTTCTAGGTATCAAGTTTTGAGCTATTCCTTGGACAACTGCAATGATGCGCTGAACCAGCAGCACTTCATTTCGCAGATGCAATAGTGAGGTGTTCAACACATGTGACTTACAGAACAGTGTGATGTTGCCTCGCAAGTGATCGTTTAGCTTGGGATATGTTCTTGTTTAGAGCTAGACGTTCTTGTTTTAGCCGTTTCCTGTGATACCTAGTAGTACTTGTGTTTGCACATGACCTGCTAGTCGGGTTGCGTGATACTTTGGTTGTGGCATGACATTTTGTTGAGTTTGTAGCTTGCATTTTTAATATAAGTATTATGTTTATGTCTTATGTTATCTAGTTTTTCTTCGTTATACATGCTGCCCCATGCGTGCTTTTTGTGTATATGTCTTTTTGTTGAACTTTTGAACTGTGAGGTTGTGATGAACGGTGCGTGATTTTTCACAGACGTCACAGCTGGCGCTTTCTTGAATGTGCGACTCTCAACCACAATCATACACTATACTGAGGTCATTTTGCACCATTTCCGTACGCTTGAACCCGCATATAGCAGTACTCGAGTGCTGCTAAAGTCCCGTTGTTATAACCTATAATTTTTGTAAGTGGGCTGCTTGGAAAGAAATTCTAGACCATTACACTCTGTAAAAGTAAGTGCACCTGCCAGCAAAGCCAGCAGCCGCACTATTGTGTCTGCTCTCTCTGGGGTTCCACATAAGCTCTCTGCTCCTTAGACATTAACAGAATTTCCCACAACACTATTGAAACTCTAAGGAAATCAATTGTTAGAAGAGTTGTTCTTTACAGGGGAATCGCATACTGCAGATGTTGCATGAGTCAGGGACATAGAGTGCAGAGGTGTGCTAGACTTGCGTATTTGTGTTCCTGCTTTTTTTGGGTTAAGCCTTCAACATTAAGGGCCTATTTGTGTGGCAGTAGCATCAACAGTACTAAACCGATCTTGGTGCTTTCGTCTGGAATATGTAGCCTTTTGCTGTTACGCAAGCATTTAAATGAGTGGTACAAAGTCACTTATTTCTCCATGTTAAACTTTGACAGAGATAGCAATGTTTCGTTTCAGTTCATGCAGTAATTTTCGATTAATGTCACAGATGCCGGGATCAGAGTTGTATGCAGCTATGTGGTAAGAAGATGTGTCATGTCGAGTGGTAATTTTTCTCGGCATCTCAATAATAACTTGCAGTGTCACAAGGAATAGGTTCCCTTTGTCCAACGTTAACATCAGGTGCAGCCAGGGATTGGGTAAATTCCGCTACTCGCCACTGGCTCGCTAAAAATGAAGAAGGGAACAAACAGCCCAAGAAGTGGCTATCTACACAAGTATGTGCCTCAGAAGTTGGGCAAACCCTACTACTAGTCGCCACCGGTCTAATAAAACTGATGAATGCAACAGTTGGCCTTAGAAATGGCTGCGAAGTGACAGCGGGGAACTGAAGGCCTCGAGTTTGTTCAAGAGAATACCAGGGATTCAAGAAAGGTGCTGGCTGCTAGAAGACCGCGAAGCGACGGTAGCCCTATGCCAATAACAATGTGCCCATGAATCTTTGAGTGGTGCTGACGTTCGGTTTCAGGGCGAATCCGTCTATTGAGTTTGGAACAACGTGCCCATGAATCTTTGAGAGGTGCTGACGTTCGTTTTCGGTGTGAATCCGTCTATTGAGTTTGGACATCGGTGTCGTGTCTCAGACTGTCTGTTGTTAAACTCGAGCCTTTCTGCGCTGAGAATCAACATAATAGACAGCCTAGCATCACCTAGCTAAAGCTTAGCGACAACCTAGAAGCAACCAGATTACACTTAGGAATTGGCCACTTTCGCTGTCTGATAAATCGAGAAATCTTAGAGGCCTGAGGGAAACACTAAACTTGCTAGGATTTGTTTTGACCATCTGTGGCACCCTTATGCTGTAATGGAACCTCATAGATTCGTGGCATCCAGCTTGAGAGCCTTCGCTTAAACTATTATTTGCACAGCAAATAAAAACAAACAAACAAACTGCGTGGGGCGACTGGTTACCGAGACGAAATGCCTCTATCATTCCTAGAAAGTGTTTGATGTTCTATTGCAATAACGGAGTTTCTGATTTCTTCTAATGATCTTGGCAGCCGTTTTTCGCTCAGTCCAAAGAAATGTGGAGGCTTATTCAATGTCTGCGTGCCTATGGTACTTTCTTTGAGTATAGTTAAGTGTAGCTCCATGATTTTGGTGCTTATTGTGCTGAATGGTGTGATCCCTTCGTCGTCAGTCACCGCTTGGGGAGCAATACCGTGACGAGCTTTGACTAGTTCAAGAATTGATTCGAGCGCAAACAGATGACACATAAGAAGAGAAGACGACCACACGAGTGCTCACCAACAACTTTGTTTATTATAAAGAAACGTGGGACTACATATAAAAGCTTAGTACACCGCAGGTGTCGCACATCAAGTGAGAAAGATGACAAAGGCTTATCCTAAATTGGGCTCCATCAACCGAAACTCATTCACCTGCAAACATGCCAACGTTTGTCTTACACAATCTGTGCCTTTTTATTTTATGTTGAAAAGTCTCCAAAAGCTTGCGTGCCATAGTGTCTCCGCTGTGGCCCAGCCCTGATTGACTAGTGGTAGCACAGTGCAACGCACATGCTATTTTGGTGGCGGTGCTTCATACCTCGCTCACAATGCGGGATGAGCTAGATGAAGTAGCAATGGCACGTACCCATTGGTCTAGTAACAGCGGTGAACATCTATAGACCTTTTCACTGAAGGCTCCCTGGGTGCCGCCTTAGTGCTTGCTGGGCTGTTGTTAACATGCGTGACCCCCCAAAAATGCAATGCTAAGGCTGTGACGTCAGCTTTTTTTACTCCCGTGCAACAGCCCAGAAAGGAGGGGATCCTCTTTTGCATAAAAAAGGTCCATTGGCCGTAGACAGAAACGTTCAAGTAAGGCAGTTTTCTGCACCCTTTTGCTGTAGCAATGGTAGTTTACAGGGGGTCTGGACTAGTTGGGCCTTGTAGTGAAAATAAGTGAGGGCCAGAGAGGAATGTTACTGTTGCATGACAGCTGGTCAGATGCATACAGTGATACACACGCTTATCTTTAATTGGACTCGGATTTCTTGTGAAGCGTTGGTTTACCATATGGCAGATATGGAAATACTGTATTGTCACGATCAGCATGCAGTTATTTTGAAAAAATTATATAGCTATATGAGTTGCTCATTGTGTTTGGTAACTTGATGAAATGATTGATGTGGATAATAGAAGTTTTGCAAACTAAAAAAACGTGATGACCACCGCAGCACGCTATTGAAACACTTATCTCATACATCGGTACTGCTAAAACACCCTAACAAAATCCTTGTTGCATAATTGCGTCGTACAGCCAGTAGCTTTCATTGAGCTGTGGCACGTGTTGTTGCTACATTGTCTGGTCGATAGGAAACACCTAAAAAGTATGTAAAGTCTCACACTGTGCCACAATCATTGTAGCAAGCTTTCACATAACTCACAAGCAGACTGAACTACGTCAGCTACCAAACTTGTGCGTAAAAGCCACATTACACTAATGGTCAGTAGACAGCAGAAGCCAGGTGTGACGTCTTGTGAAAACTGCGCAAGACTTGGGCACTGTGTTAACGATTTGGCTCAGTGCAATATGAGTACCTGCTGCAATATATCTTGTGCTACACAAGTGTCAAATGCACATCTTGTCTCTGCAGTTCCATATTTTTGCACAAGTTGTAAATGCAGGCATTGCAGTGAGCAGAGTATCAATCACGTCATTGATTGCTGCATTGACAGTAGTCGTGCTTTGGCTGTTTTGTTGAAAGAGCTGCAGTATTTTTTTACTCTTTTGTCCAAGCATAATTGCGAGAGCAGTGTTGTTTAAAGAGGTAGCACACAGCCTCTTTGGCTTAGCTCCACTTTGCCGAGAAATGCGCAGTTATATTGTCTTTTCAAGCAGGGTAGTTTACCACATTTGTACTTGTTTTCTTCACCTGACCAGCTGGGCATTTTTACATGGATGTGCCATTTGCCACTTTTTAGATAGCCTTTTTTATCATGTACAAGGCTTCGCTCATAGTTTGGCAGCATTTTTAAGTCATTGTAATAAACGATTTTTTTGCATGATGGAATAAAAACAACATTCGTTTTCATTGCATGTTTCATGTCATCGTTCCTTTGCTGTTGCGGGCCTTTCAAGCGGGCAGATTGCCAGCTAGCCATGCCCATGGCAGCTTTAAGCTTAACAGTTTTTTTTTTTTATAGCGAAAGCTGTTATGTGATTACAACACTGTTCACGTGCGCGCCGTAGCTGTCCGCCGCCGCCGGTGTCTGTAACCACTGTCGCCCGAAATAGGAAAAAAGAACTCGGTAAACAAAAAAAACGCCAAGGACACTATGGACTTCGAACCCAGCTTCCTTGCAGGCCAGCACAGTATTCTACTACTGAGCTACACTGGTGCTTTAAACTCCTCTGCAGACTGGCCTTAGACAGGCTTGATGTCGGGAATTGAATCGCATTAATATGAGTAATAAAGCATTTTAGAACAGCAAAAGAACTATCAGGTCTGGGTCGTCAAATGCTCCAACCATTTACAAAGCTCAATCTTGTTCACATATTAACTGTGGCACGTACCCACTGTGGGGGATTACAAAAGCTTCTGCCATGTTTCTTCATCGTTGTCAAGCACAGCACAAAAAAAATTGTACAAGGTTCCTTGTAAGTGTGCAGCAGGTACCAGGCTTTTCTGAAGAATTACGAAGTATGGCAAAGTGAATGCCTGCGTACTACACAGTGATTAATTGCATAGTCGATACCCTGCAAGTGTGCGTGATAGTTACCTAACGAGTGTTTAAAAAAGGCTCTAAAAGACCACTCTTCCAGCTTTCGCCATGACAGTGCTGCACGTTCTGCGCAAGCCTGTCGTTTTTTGTTTTGTTTTTGTGTGCCGGGAGGTTCATGTCGTGCTTTTAGTTACATGATAATGATTTATTGATGCCCTTTGAGGGTGCATCATTTCTTTTACACGACTTAGGAGGAAAAAATTGGCAGGTGACCAGTTATATCATCCATGTCACTGATAACATTAACGATACAGAAACGGTATTCTGCACACTATGGCGTGCTTACAGTAGAAGCACACGAAAGACTCAATATGCAGTGCTGTTGTCTAGCATCTGTGTTTTCTCTCTCTCGCCTAAGTTCTCGCAGTTAAAAATAAAAGTTAAATTGTTTTATCTGCATGTTTTTCTAGTTGTCTCCGCTGGAACGCATATTGTATACTATGTGAACAATCTTTGAGCTCCTACTAGACAACATGTAAAACGCAGGATGCGGTTGCCAATTGTCCGATTAAACCCCTCTCGCTTTCCAGCTGTGAGTCTTAGCTGCCAGAAATTACATTTTCTGATTGTAATGTTAGCATATTTCCTTTTATTTGGAGCATCCCAGTGATAGCTGTTGTTGCAAGGGTTACTGTTACTTAGCCTGTTCACGCAGCATCACTAGTTATTGGCACGCTGGTGCTTTCCTCGCGTCTGCATGCCCTTTTGCCTAGAATAGATTTGAGTGCAAAGGGACGACACACAAGAGGAGAGGACACCTATACGAGCGCTCCAAAATAAACAAACATGTCCAACAAAGCATTTTATTAGTTATCTTTCGCCTAGCGTGCTTTCTTCAGAAATCTGGCCCAAAGAGAATCATGGGCTTCAGTGTAAACAGCTTTTTTTTGTGGTTGTTTTCACTTCGTATACTTCAGTATTGATTCATTGTTAGCGTGGTACCTACTGAAATGAAGATATCCCAATAAATTGACAGGTAAAATGATTGGTTTTTTTTTGCTGTTGTCGCAGTTTCTCGTGCTGCTGCACTATGCGATACCAACTTTCTTAATAGCAAATTGAGCAGCGGAGATATGTTCTGCATTCATGTTGCTTTTAAGGCGATGTCCGTAAAGGAGATAGACTGGACATTTTTATTTCTGGTTTCCGCTTCTGGTGGAATTTTATCTGAAAAGACAAGGTACATGTCAGCCGACAAATTTCGGACAGGCACGACATTGCAGCAAGTTTTTCTCGGAGCACTGAATTACCTTTTGCTAGGATAAAGCAAGCCTTGAGGCATACAATCTCTACGAGGGGTGTACTTTATGGCTCGTTTAAAGCAGTTGCCATTTGTAATTGCTGACACACTGTCACATTTGAAAAAGTTCCATCTACGCGCAGCTGCAACTAGAACTGGCATGAGCACTGAACCCGTATATTTACATCTGCCAGCACCATCTAATGCAGGGTTCTCAAACATGCAGCACATACATGCCTCCTTTCACCCCACATTTAAAAAAAATTTTATTGATAAGTGTCTTCGTGAGCTACATAGACATTATTGGTCTACAGCAGTGTTATCATGAGGTACCGCCTGTGATCACTCAGTGCTGAAACATTGCCGTGAAACAAACACTACGTTTCAGAATCGGCATCCAGGTACACTCATTTTGTAGATCGGTATTGGCATGCTGTAGGTTGCCAACTGTCCTTCAGAAATGATCCATATGTGAGCTATGGGAAAGGTTTTCTCTCAAATGTGAATGTTTGTCAACAATTTAAACATACCCCACCCCGCCACCCCCTCGCTTTTTGTCCTGCACCAAAACGGCTCGTGTGGGACTGAAGTGCTCGACCGCGGCCCTCTTGCTGGAGTGAGTTTGAGAACCTTGATGTAACGCATCACGAGGGAACAGTACCAAAGCTCTTGAATGTTTGCTTGTAAGACTGGGAGCATATTTCACATGGTCATTACTGTGGCTAAGAGTCTATAATATTGGTAATACAAAGCCAAGGTTTCAGAGACCTTAGTTTTTAGGTTCTGTACTAGTGGAGCATTTGTTTAAAAAAAAACGAGAAAAAAAAAGCTTACCTTAGAGCCAGTGTCCAGGGCTTATGATCGTGCCCCTGTCGGGTACTTCACATTATCTCTGCTGGCACAATCTTGTGGACAAAACTGCAGGATGTTTTATCGGCCTCAGGCTGTGCTCTCCGCTCTTCAGTACTGCTTACTCGTTGCATATCTACTTGCAAGCTTATCTGGTATCACTGCTTCCAACTTCTGCTTTCCATTTTGTTGAAGGTCACTGGTTTTCTTGCGTAACATTCTGCCAATATTACCCGGAAAGCATCGCAGTTTAGGCACAAAGGCATCACATACGAAGGGTACAATTGATTGGCTGTTCTGTCATGTTCATATCCAAACATGATGATGGCAATTTGTTTCCATAGTACCCTAAAAGTAGGTGGACCTAAACTAAAGCATGCTTCACATTGCCCAGAAAGTTGCTTTTTGCTCCCACCCTTTGAAGCTAACGCATGATATGGACTAGGAATATATGTACGATGGTCGGAGCATATTTAGCATGACATCTGTTTATCACATTCGGTATACTGATTGCCCTCTGATAAGTTGCAAACAACAAAAGGACTGTGATATGTAAGGGAAGAGAAATTTGAACGTTGTTATATATGTTTCTTTTTTAATCAGCTGCAAGTCATAGTCTGTACGAAAAGGTGACGTGGTAGGTCTGAATGGCTTACTTTATTTCTGTTATTATCTTTGCCTACATTTCACTTGTACTATGAAACTGTGGCACTTGTTGCTTGGCTTGGTTGGAAATCTACATTGGCTGGACTGTTAACTGTGAGCCAACAGCTAGTGGGTTCGATTATTGGTGAATAATTTAATTTTATCATTGCTACATGCAGGTAATCATTGCTGTGTGTACCCAAGGCGTGCCTTATTCTGTGTATTTGTTGTTACAAGCGTAACACTATAAATGTGAAGCTACTACGCTAAAGTGTCTGGAGTGCAAAGCCCAAAAGTCTATGTGTAAGATTCCACAAACACGAAGATCGAGGCAGTGCAGTCAGACCTCAATATGGCGGCATCACTGTTGATACGTAGGAAATCGGTCGACGTTCCGGACAGGCATCTTCAAGGCGGCAGAATCAGACAGCCAAGTTTAAGCTTGTTGGAAGCTTGAGTGTTCCTTGGAACATGCTATCATTCATTACACTTGGAGACGTGATTGTAAGGGTGTTTAATGCACTATGGTGTCTTTTGATGGGGCGAAGCAATCAGGGCTTGAATGAAGGACTTGACTGTGCGTCGATGAAGCGAGCATATTCTTTCCCTTGCGCGCTCAATGCAGATGCCAATCCAGATGAGAGCAACCGTGTTGAAGACGAGGATGGTGATTCGGGTGCACCAGTGCTCAAGCAAATTGAGGCAGACTTCATCAATCAGCCTATGGAGCAAAGTAAGTCTCATGCACACTGCGATATCTTCAATATTCATGCCAGATTCCTTATCGTGCTCCCTTTCTCGTGAATTGCTTTTGCTTATCATCTGCATTTAGAAGTTCTACACAAATAGAAACGACGCCTTCTTATGCTACCTTGGACAATTGCTGTTGCTGCTCAATACAAAGAAGGTCCTGATCCTGTGTTTATTGTGAAGTACTCCTGATCCTGTGTTTATTGTGAAGTACTGCTGACATTTCTATCTTCTTGCATGCCCTAATAGTGATCACAAATGGTATAACCTGCTAAAATATGTTATGTTATAAAATTCAATTACGTTATTAAAGAGATCTGCTTTTCACTGTGATACCATCTACAGCTGCTTACTGTATTTATATATATATGTGGTGCAGCAGTCGTCGTTGCCCCGCAGAACCACTGCTACATCTTTTGTGTTTTCAGCATGGTGTCTGTGGATGTAGGAAAGCTTACAAATAGCCTTTTGTTCTATTGACTGCTTATAGATAATACAATTGTGAATAAGATTCGCTCAAGAAGTTTTGTTTATATGATGTGATAACATCAGCATGTATACATAAAAAAAAAGGTCAAATTATTTTCAAAGTTACAGCTTTCGTACATAATTCATTGCTAGACATGATGCGTATTATGGAAAAATCTGGTGTCCATCTAAAATTTTGGGGCTACGAAGTTCGAAGTTGTTCTATGTGCATCATTCATGATGCACATGAGACGATGTCTTAATTTGGCCTTCATGGTAAGAACATGGCAAACTTTTGAGTTGTGCTCATGTTTGCAAGATCTCTCAGTTAATCTGAAAGCCTTAGATGCTTCTCATATTTGCTAAGTGCACACTAATGGGGGAGCTAAAAAAAAAGAGAGAGATACCCAAGCTTGATGAATGCCAGCTTCATGTTCCCCTTTTGTGTTCCCAAATTGAGAAGATTCTCCTTGGGGCTGCTCTTTGTGAAACTTCCTATTGTCGTGATAAGATAGTAGTGTACATTTATACATTTTCTAATGTAGCGCTTGCAACATGCCATAATTGGTTGGCTAGTTAATTTCAGGTCACATACTGTTGCAGTACGAGAAGCTAATTTTTTATTAATGATTAAGTTTGGTTTTCTGTTTGCAATTTCTTGCGAACAGAGGGAGAAGGATCCACAACCTGTCGGCCATCTACAGTCGGCGACCTCTTCAGCGAGCTGCATCTCACCGAGATCAGGAAGCTCGAGAAGCAGCTTGAACAGGTCGGTGAATCTCGAGTGCATGTTGGTCGGGCTGCTGCTGAGCTAGCTCCTGGCGACTGAGTAGAGCACAGGGTAGGTTTCAAGTGCTGTCATGCGAAGGCCATACACTGAAATCTCGATATAATGAACCTGGATGTAACAAAATGTTGGTTATAACAAAGTAAATAAAGAATAGTCTTGTAATGTATATAGTGTTAGGAATATACCTTTATAAGGAATTTCGGATATAACAAGCCTATTTTTGTGTATGGTACAACATTACTGTGAAGTTTGAGTGTAATTGCTTGGCAGTTCACCCATGGTTTTTACCTGCTGTGGGGTCTACAAAATGGCGAGCTAACGCCACGTTGTTGGAGTGAACGGACACAGCAGAGCGGTCGGTACAAATCAAACAACAGCACACATTTATTTAACTAATTTAGACGACAATATCGTCCGCCGAACCGATACATCAATCGTTATCAACACGCTAGGACATCTGTACACAACATTACCATACACTCCATAACAAACACAATAACATGACAAACACACAATAACATGACAAACACAGTAACACACCCAAGGCGGCGGCGCCAATGCTTGACTTACCACGAGGGTCCCCGACGCGCAGCCCGCGGTGCCATCGATCGGGGACCCACGGGCAGAAGAGACTCACTCAACTCTCGCCCGCCACCAAGGCTTGCCTTCGCCAGGGGTCACCGCCGGCGCTACCACTCTACCAACAATGATGGTGATAGTGGTGATCACCGCTCGTTAACACAACGCCACCTACCGCCTGGTGGTTGTAGTCCAAGATGCGGCTTTTAGGCGACACACCTGCACCCCGCAGTGCAAACAACTTTACAGGGGGTGTCAGCACCCCCACACTGCTATTGACTTAGTTGCAATTGTGGTTAGTATAAATTGGGCCATTTAGTTATTTTTCACATCTGTTGTGTAGGGAGTACCTCGTCTTTAGCAAATTCAACATTTAGTGTAGCCTGTGAGAGTTTATTGATGGGTCACTTTCGGAACAGAAAGTTGGCATATTGCGTGATTCCTGGTGCAGACAAGATTTTCTGCATCCACTGCGATAGTTGTGAGAGGTGTGGCAATGACTAAGCTCCCAGGGTTAGTTCTAGCAACATAAATACCTAAAAAAGTTGACTGGAGGGCTACACTAGGGTGAATTTAATGGTAACGCTCCACGTGAATTGCGAAGATATGGCATGCAAAACTGTACTTGATGGTTCATATTTATGGTAAAAGCAGCACAAGATGGCAACATGAGATGAACAACGTAGGACAGGCGCTCACTGTATGCTTAATACTTACTGGACAAGTCCAGCAATAAGTGCTGGAAGCTATGGGACATTTTAATTATCATTATTTTTAACTGTGCCTGTTTGACTTAGCTGAAAGCTTGATTTGTACAATTGTGTATTCATCGCCTAAAGAGGTTGAGCTTTTACTGGATAAGTCCTCTCTATAATATACTGTCCCCTTTTAGTGTAAGCGTAAATGTTGCTGATGTTTTTTTTGTTTTTTTTTGCGCCTAATGCAGCTTGAGACTGAAAAAGGCCACCTATCTGGTATCTTGGAGGATGCGCAGCAACAACTGGAGAAGCTGCGCTCAATACCCGGCGGAGACCAGAGGCTTGTCCTGGCAAGGCTGGTTGGACCAATTCGGACGCTCATCGCCTTGCATGGCGAGGAAGTGGGCACTGACGGCGCTGAGAATGTTAGTTTGTGTCACGTCTACGACATTTCACTGCAAGATAGAAAGGGTGGATTGTCGGCCCTATTGGTGTTACATGTTCATGAAGGGAAATGTTGAGGACTGGATAGGGAGAACTTACAGGAGTGCTAACTTTCAATGATGATTTACTTGAAGCGAGATTACTGAATATATATATCGTGCAAATATTCAGTGGTCCGGCCTTCAATAAATCATTGCCCACAGCGCTTGTGTATATCATCTTTCTGTACTCTCCTCGTCAATTCAGTGGCGCACTTAACTTCATGAGCAAAGTAGGCCTTTATTTTATTTAATTTAACACCTTAAAGACCCCATCTGGGATAATATTTAAGGGGGGGGGGTCAGCGTGGTTATACATTAAAGAAAGCAGAAATTACTGCGAGATATTTGTGTGCACAGGGCCTGGAAATTCGGAACGACTTCGTATGGCGCGGCATTGTGGGCGTCTCAGGCAGGCTGAGGGAAGAACGAGGCTTGAAATGTCAGCAGTTCAATATTCGTGGATGGGTAACTTGCAGTTGACAGCTAGTGCATCGTGATGTGCAAGAAGATGATGACATGATGTAACGTGGCGAGCTAAGCATGCTGTATAGGAATTGTGAAAAGGAAGGTGTGGCTGCATGATGACGAAATGGTAAGGTTTACAAGTTACATTTCGCCTTTGAAAGAGAAAGGCCAATGTCACTCTGTTTGCATAACTTACATATTGCGGATAACTTGTATCTGCACGAGGAACAAGATAATTGTGCAGGAACTCATCTGAGGCATAGTGTGCTTATTAAGCATCGTGTTACCTCTACATGTGGTTGTCCAGGGTGTCGACGATGTGACCAGGCTGCAAAAGCTCCTGGACAAGCACGAACAGCGCTACCGTAAGGCCCTTCAGCAGATCGCCCAGCTTCAGGCTGAGCTGGATGGCATGACGGATGGTGTCGATGGGGAAGCAGACACAGTCATGAGCGGAAAGCTGCGTGACGAGATTGCCAACCTGAAGAACAAGGTTTGTTGTGAGCTCGCGCTGTTACGAGGCTGTTAATTGATGTCACATTTGAGGGCAGTGCACAGGCTGCGACACATTACTCCCACCATGAAGATGGCCTAGCAAGCATTGCGCTTATCAAGGAATTAGGCGTGCACAGTGCTCAGTGCTCAGAGTAAACCTCACACTTCTTTTTCCAGGCTTGAGACAAGCGCTGAGATTGCATGTCAGTGTCAATGGAGGTGGTGTAGTACACTTGAACCTCGATATTCTAAAACTGGATTTAACGAAATATTCGTTATAAGGAAGTAAATGTGTAATATAGCATTAGTAATATATATTTATAACAAATTTTCGGATATAACAAACATATTTGTGCAGAATGCAACTTCTTTACAATGAGGTTTGAGTGTAGTGCCAGCTTTAGGTGCATGGCATTGGTCCCAGCTTCGATTTCCAGAACAATGGGAGCTCTGCTACTGTTGTAGAGCTCTGGGCTTTTCATTTGAGCAGGTTGCGTGCGTTAGCTATAGCTTCGCGCTACCCTTGATTGGATGACACTTTTTCATTCAGCACAGGTGAATTTGGTTCACATTTTTTGGTTACAGAATGCATTGGAAGCATCTGTTACCGAGCCATTTGTATAAACGAGGCACACTTTGTGGCTCCTGTGCAGGTTCACGACTATGAACAGATAATGGCGGAAATAAAGGAGGACCTGAGTGTCGTCAGCGAGTTCACAGACGAAACGCGCAATAGGCTGGGCGCTGCGCAGGTAAGTTTTCATCACATTGAGGAAGGCCTGGTTTGAGTCTAACACACTATCGAACGTATAAACATGTTATGTGCCAACTCACCGGTGGGAAATAAAATCAGAATTATTTGTCATGAAGTATTACTGTAGAAACATGAGAGAAGATTTAGTGAGAGGTTGACGGCACAAAATTTTCACTTTTGCTAAATTAGTTATGAGTGATTAAAGGACTACTACTATTAAGGTACTTCTGGCTAAGCATCAGATCTGTTACGCATCTATTTTTCCTCTAGATATGTAGTTCGAAGTAGCAACTAAACAGGCCAGTTGTTTACCTGGTTGTTAGCAGACGTGTATATCCCAGTAAGTCGCCTCTAAGAAAAGGCACGTTGCGGGTATCTCGGTGTGATGGTGTGATCCACAATGCTATTGGCTATGTCTCTTTTTTTCTTTCATCGCAAACTTTCATGGCATACCCACGCGTACTTCAGTCACAAGCTGTTTTTGCGGAAAAATTCTCAATTAGTGTTCCGAACTTATCTTTTCCATCATACAGAAAACCCTCGTTATGACAGAAGTCAGTGGGACGGCAAGAAAATTTGATATAAGCGGTAATTTGATATACGTCACTTCCCTGTAAAAGCTCAGCAAATGCAGCTAAATCAGCTATGACAACCTCGCAGATGTGGTACAGTAAAAGCGCGTTAATTCGAGCCGCAAGGGGAAGCCCCCTCAGTTCAAATTAACGAAAGTTTGAACTATCGAAAGTGAAGAACAACAATAGTACACTGCGAGTAGGGCATAACAATTTATTTTTTGAAAAATCTGTGATCGCGGTCTGCCTTCTTTCCTTGAAGGCGACAGCCAGCACTTTTTGCTCTAACAAGTGAATTTGGCGGAAGGCCTCTTCTCCGCCTTCTTTAACACTTAAGAAAAGACGGCGGCATTCAATCCGGCCATTACTTCCGCAGCAGAGGGCCACACTGGTGCTTCGTCTTTCAACTCATCATCGTCACTGGCAGCGACAGGTTCTGCATTACTCACCTGACATATTATGTCGCCATCCATGAGTGCACCACACACCACTGCACTTCAGTGCACTTGCGAACGCATTTCCTATATCCAAATGAGAAGCGCTTTCACGAGGTCAAGATACTTTGCGGGCCGCAACCTCCTCCTTTCGTTCGCAACTTCTGCCTCTAAGGCGTCTTAAATTGTCCTCATATTTTTTGTAGAAGTAGATAGCGTCATTTTCGGTATCCCATGCTTTTTCGCGATATCTTGCTTAGGCAAGAGTCCGGCGTCCACTTCCCGCAGGATACCTATCTGCTTTCTCCCAAAGTGTATTTGCCGCGGGCACACGCCATCAAGTCGGAGCAGCAGAATTGGGACAGACGGGAAGCTACTACCCGCGCTACCGCAACAAACGTTAGCCGAGGCCTAACACCAACACAAAGAATTGCGACAGTCGGAAGCTACTCCCAGCACCAACAACCGAGGCGTACGACGCACGCCCGAGACAGAGACTGTAGAGAAAGCTGGGCGAAGCTACGACGCACCCATGTGCTAGTCATGCCACCTGTCGTCTAACAGCGACAACTACGCAGGATTTTCAAAGGCTACGAGATAGGCGCTAAAAAAAAAAAAAACCTTGGAGGTTACCGAGAGTAGGCAGCCGCCCAGAGAGAGAGATTGTGGGGGGGGAGGAGGGTGAAGAGTAAGTGGCGCTATTTTCTGCACGCTTGCCTCCGTGCCAGTTTCTCCGTTTTTCTCTCCGCTCCTTGTCCAAGCCGCCTCATAACTCGGCAGCCGCCCTATCGAGTGACTAGCCAAGCCGCTGGCGTGGTGGCGCATAGTTCGAATTGTCCGCGGTAGAACCTACTCGCGTTCGAATTAACGGGCTTTTTTATTCATAGACTTGTAGGAGCTTGGCCTTATAGTTCGAATTATTCATAAATTCGAAATATTGGAGTTAAAATTAACGAGCTTTCACTGTATTCAGCAAAACAAACTGTTATTATTCATTCACGCACAACAAAGTCAGTTAGCTGACTTTGTTGGCAAATTATGAGGTCGTGGTTGCCACCTGCACACTCCACTCTATTTGGCAACAGACAAAGGCTCTCCTGCGATTGTGCCGCTGTTGGTATTTAACGAGGCCACCTACTCGTCTAGTGGCTCATCTTCCTCATCGGGGTTGCATGTCCACTGTTTTGGCTGGCTAGCCAACCAGGACTTTGCCACCTTCCCCAGTATCAGCAAAGAAAGCTTGTTCCCCGTTGCGTTTGCACCGAATAGCATTGTAACGCGTTCTTTGCTTTGTTTACATCCTGATGAGGTTCCGCCCGGTGTTGTGTACGTGTGCTTCGGCAATAATTTATGAAAGAATGCTAGCTCGTCCAAATTGTAAATTTCTCAATCTTTATACTGCTGAAGTAGGGTACTCAGTCGATGCTTGAGCAATTTGTCCACGGCTGCACTTTCACTAATGAATGATTTTGAAGACGCGTTATGCCATCTCTTGAAATGTTCAAGCCAATCATTGCTTCACTTAAAATCTTGCTTGACGTTTAGGGCAGCTAGAGCTTTGGCTTTTGCAGTCGATGCAGGCCAATTTACAGGTAGGGTTGCACTTCAAGCATTTTTCAGCCATTCGAGAAGTGTTCTTTCTACTTGAGGGTACATATAATCACAGTTGTGAGTTCATTTGGCTGTGAAACTCTTCTCGAGTCTGCTCAGTATGGCATACTTATTTCCCAGAGCAGTATATGTTGTTGACGCCAGTAATCTGAATTGTCTCGCGATTTAGATTTGTGCAGGCCTCTTTTTTCTACCTCACGTCTCAGTTGAACTTTCCGCTCCAATGTCGAACACTTCCGTGCAGGCACCGGTGGTGCCATTTTCGCTTGACGGTCACTAAACGCACACGATGCGCACACAAAACTTTGCGGGCTCACGCAGACCCCGCACAACACACGTGCACCACACGTCTTCCAAACACAGATAGAAAAAACCGAGGGGTCAGGCAGCGTGCCAAGGCTCCCTACTGGTCACATGACGCCACTGCTGTAGCAGGGAATAGCGGTGAGTAGCCGGCTTGTTAGTGAGTGCCTCCGTACCAGAGTAAGGTGCGGAGGGGAAGGGTAAATTTCGTGCTGTGGAAGCTCTCACGCCATCTGCACCAGTCTGCACTGGTGCGCAAAGCCTGGGGACGCTAGCACGAACATTGCTCGTGTAGCGCAGATAAGGCTGCTCAACGTGGTATGTGGATGAAAAAAGAGCAGGCGCTCTGGCGGCCGGGGTCGTTGTTCGTTCGCGACGCCGTAGATACAGATCCGCAGCTTGTTACTTCACTTTAAGAAGAGCAAGCTATCGACATCTTCGAGTAATTTGGTCTAAAATACACATATTACAGCGAAAGCTGTTATGAGATCACAACTCGGGACTCACGCAGCGCGGTAGCTGTTCGCCGCCACTGCCGTTGTCCGTAACCACATTGCGTGAAATTAAAAAAAAGCTTAGTACCAGTGAGAGTGGGGCATCGAACCCGGGTCTGCTAGGTGCCAGTCCAGTATCCTACCACTGAATTATATCGGTGCTTGTGACTTGTTGGCAAACTTGCCTTAGGCAGGCTTGATGTCATAAATGCAATCATGTTAATAAAACTTATAAAGCATTTTAAAACAGCAGTTATCACACAATGTGAATAGCGCAACGAGTGGGTCGTCTAATGCTCCAACCATTACATTGATTGATATGTGGGTTTAACGTCCCAAAACCACTTTATGATTATGAGAGACGCCGTAATGGAGGGCTCCGGAAATTTGGACCACCCGGGGTTCTTTAACGTGCACCCAAATCTGAGCACACGGGCCTACAACATTTCCGCCTCCATCGGAAATTCAGCCGGGATTTGAACCCGCGACCTGCGGGTCAGCAGCCGAGTACCTTAGCCACTAGACTACCACGGCGAGGCATCCAACTATTACAAAACCTTGTTTTTGTTCAGTTATTAACTGTGGTGCATACCCACTTTAGGCATAATTCCTCATCGTCGTCAGCCACTGCATGAACAATTGGCACGAAATTCCCCGCAATAGTTTAGCGGATACCAGACTTCTCAGAAGAATGACGAAAAATAGCATAGTGAATATGCCGGCCTACTACCCGTAAAGTTTTTGTTATTAATTAGTATTAAAATTTATTATTAGTGGGTATCAAGCAAGTGTGCTTGCAGTGACTTACCCAATGAGCGTTTAGAAAAGGCTCTGAAAAGCCGCTCTTCTAGCTTTCACTGTGACTGTGCTGCGCTTCCGTGCAGGCCTGACGTTTTTTTGGGGGTCGGGACTGCGTGACTCTTCGACAAAAGTGATAATTCAAAGAAAGTGACTTTGTTGTAAGGAGTGTTTACTGTATGTAGTTTGCGAATAGTTTGAGAAATTGCTTTTTGTGAGGGCCAAAGTCGTGTTGTAGCTTAGACTTTAGCACCAATTCCTTGCGTATCTGCTAGTACTACTGAATTCTTTTAGCATATTTAGAGTGGCTTTTGGAGTTGTATCCAGGCAAGAAGTGCCACATGTTCTTCACTCTGTCCACAGGAAGAACTCCTGGCAGTTTCAGAGGACCTAGCGCAGCTGTATCACCACGTGTGCACTGTGAACGGCGAGACGCCGAGTCGTGTTGTTCTAGATCATGCAAAAGGCTCTCGGCCTGGAGAGGAATCGGAAAGCCCTGGTGAGTTGTTTGCTAAAGGGTACAAAATGTGTCCTTTGTGTTTATATAAGTGGTACAGAGAGATAAAAGGGCCCTTCAACATTTTTCCAAGGGATAATCTAATGGCCTCACTATCTGAGTTAACTGCCTTACAAATTGACTACCTAACATTTTTTTAAGACTATCATGTACAGTGGAACATCGATTATACGTCTTTGGTTTAGAGATGACCTGCATTTCGCGACGAATTGGTTTGTTCTCGGTAAAATCTCCATAGAAGTAATGTACTAAAAACATGGTTATAGTAATACCTTGCTAACTCCGAGTTGTAAAAACCAAAGAAAATTTCGAGATAAGCGGATTTTTTAGATGATCGAAGTTGCGCAAATCGCTGGAAAAACCTAGCGCTTTTTAGCAAAACCACCACTACTGACCGGCTCTTCAGGAGCAGGTTCAAATGTTTCTTCTAGTGAAAGTTTAAAAGAAAAAAAAATATCACACATGAGACGTTAACCAGCTGGATTTTGTAGCACTGCCATTTTATTTAGCGGGGGGAAACTCCCTAATGCTCGTATGCTTTGCGGTCGTGCTCGAGCCTACGAAGGCGTCTTCCAGCTCCTTTACGCATTGCATGAGAGGATCTTCCCCATTGCTGCACTCAACCTCATTTCGAAGCAAACGCAGCAAATTTCTTGCTTCTGTAGATGTCGGCACCTCTTGAGGTGGTTCGTCATCGGCATCGCCTCCGCTGCCCCCTACGTTTGTGGCCGTTTGAACATTTTCAGCGTCCGTCATTTCTGCGGTCACCGGCACACCAGCTTCCGCTGGCTGGAGAAGCTCTGCTGATATCCACCGATCATTTTCTGCTTGTTCTTCAGCACCGTCCACAAGCGTAGTCAAAGGGATGCCAAACTTCTGCGCGATGGTTCATTTCGTTCGGCCTCCTTTTTTCCACTTCCTTAATTAGGGCAGCCTCATTTTCTAGCGTTAGCGACTTGCACTGCTTTTGTGACGCCATGCTTGCCGCACTAACGCTAAATCCCAGCTCCTTGAAGTCAGCGTTAAATTCGTACCACGTGGGTATCGCAGATCAGACTGCACGGAAATCACACTTTAGAGAAAACAACGAGCACTGCCAAACGAACGAGATAAACGACGTCACTACGCAAAGCGTGGGGCAAAGAGCGATTTCTGCTGCGTGGGAATCAGATGACGTGCGACCTGGTTGCTCGACAAAGTTAATATGCCGCTAGGCTCAGACTACACGTTTGCAGAAAGTATTGACGTAGCGGCAGGCGCGGCTAAATAAGAAATAAAAAGTAAAAATTTGATAGATTTCAGGCGTAGTAGCATCGCGCGAATTTTTTGTAATGGACCAATGGTGGAATGTTCGTTCCACTCTCACTCAAGATTTCAAGATACCCACAAACCGATCCACAAATGGTTTGAGATAAAGGGGGAAAAAAAAATACATGGGACGTAACGGAGAAGGTTTGGTGCCACGGAAAATTTCTACATCGTCAATTTTTCGAGATATGTGAGTTCAAGTTAACGAGGTATTATTGTATACAACTTAGTTTTACGATGACTTTCAGGCTTCGTTCGAAAGAAAAAACTACTTTTACTCAAATTGAACGTTGTCCAAATATACAGGAGGGCGAAATATGAACTTGCGTTTCCCTTACATTGACAATTTATTCTGGTAGAAGTTCATGCGCTTCTACATATGCCTCGATCGCGTGCATACGAATTCGGGACCATTACATCATCAAGCTCTACCAACGCAGAGTAGCTTCAGCTGGCTGAAAAGCTGATATTTTCATGTTTTCGGTCTAGGAAACTTTCGACACTACAGCTGATATCCTGCTTTTGTCGCACTCACTGTCACAGGTTTGCGCAAGCACAAGGGCGCAACAAAGCTGTTTCCACCATGCAAAATTACTTTCACCCAGCTTCGTAGTTCAGAATAGTTGCACTTCGCAAGTCCACAAATTACAATGTGCACAACTTAGTTGAGCACGAAGGCATTCACGCAAACTCGTGGTCCGTCGCCACATGTGATAGTGATGACACTGTGTCTGACTGTTCTGACAGGAGGCTGTTGGTAACATGGTTTCGGTTTTTTGTTTTCGTGTGCGAGCAATTTTTCGGACTTTGTTATCGGCAGAAAGATGCACATTGGATTCTATGTTTTTAACATTGAGAATAAAGATTCGATCACACTTCTCCTCCAATTTAAAGGGATACTAAAGGCAACTAATTAGTCCATGTTGATTATAGAAATAACGGTCTAGAAACCTCATAGTGTTACTTTTGTGCCAAGGAAGCGTTTATTTTAAGATGAAATCATGTTTTAGTGGTCCGCATCAGGTTAGTACACTTAATGTTACCGCCTCAAGCAGAACATCGCGCGTCACTGTTGCCATGCACAACGTTGGTCGGCTTTACTGCGCAGCCGCCGACACCAGTAGCAGCAGAACAAAAGCATCGGGAGCTACAGCAGCAATAACGGCCCTTGAACAATTCCCTGCCATTGGTTCTGATAAGATGGCAGACTTACTTGGTTCAACTGGGTCCCGCTAGATGGCACGACCGGTCCTGTTTAACCAGGCGGAAATTGAACTATTTTTAACTACTCACGCCATTCCCCATTGTAATGTCCCGTGGTTCTTTTTTTCATGAATCAAGCAGAAACGAACAGCAGCGTTTTATACATCTCTTATGCACGGAAGTTTCTTTATTTACTGCAGCTAGTTCAATTACTAGTAATCGATTGTAGGCGATTCATCTGACTTAATTGGGATCATATTGAGAATGTCCTACTGCGGTGCTTGTATGTTTGTGCATTTACCTTAATTTCTCAGTAAGTAGGGCTCTGCTGTTGAAAATACTGTCTTTTAGATGTTGTCATACATTGAGATTTCACTCTTATGTAAATTGTTGTTTGACTTTAGTGCTCTTTAAGTTCTACTGCCATCAGCTTTCACTGGCACAAATAATTTACTCTATCATCCCTGCAGAGACACAAGGCCGTGCCGTGGGCATATTCAGGCAGTCTGTACTTGTTTTTTTGGGCAAGGCTGAGTGTCTCTACCTATGATATTAGTTTTTCTATTCTATGATCCGGCGGTTTTTCATGGTTTCCTGAAAGTCGTATAATCAAGGTTTCACTGTACGAGCAGAGTGATAGGAATCAGTCAAGCTTCAAGTGCTTTCTCATTTTTTATCCCAGCTGCCGTGCACGCCATGTCCTTGCAGTGCTTTCTTCTTGCCTTTGAATGTCATCGCAAGCTCACTGGTGTGATTCATACTGTGTATAGCACCATAAAGTGCTATGAGGGCATTGTGCGGCACATCATGATGACCGCACTTAATTATGCAGCTCGTGATATTTAAATCAGCCAATGTTCTCAAGCTGATTATAATGCCTTGAGCCTAACTGTGCTTATTCAACTCTTTCAGTGTTCTTACTCTCTGTCGAGTTTGGCTGCTAATAGGTAGGAGAATTGAAAGGATTGTAACCTGTCATTCTCTTTCATTTTTCTGCAGTGGCCATTGAGGATGCGCCTTCTTCAGAGAAGGCACCTGCCGACAGCTCTCCAATCGAAAAGCTCAAAACGGAATTGTTCCGACAGGCATTGCTTCGCGAGAACGCCGTCGACCCGTCGCAATGCGCCACACTCAGCGAAACCCTTCGCGACCAAGTGCGGCATCCTGCGTGTTGCCGTGGAGACGACCATGGAAATGGGTCGCAGCCGCGCTCCACCCATCGGCGACGGCATGGCCGGCACTGCCGAAGAGGAAGAGCTCCAGGAGCAGGTGATCAAGCTCAAGTCGCTCCTGTCGACGAAGCGTGAGCAGATCGCGACTCTCCGTGCCTGTACTCAAGGCCAACAAGCGGACCGCCGAGGTGGCTCTCACTAACCTCAAATCAAAGTACGAGACCGAGAAGGCAGTGGTCAGCGAGACCATGTCGAAGCTCAGGCACGAGCTCAAGTCGCTCAAGGAGGATGCTGCAACGTTTGCCTCATTGCGAGCGATGTTCGCAGCACGTTGCGAAGAGTACGTCGCCCAGCTTGACGACCTCCAGCGGCAGCTTGCAGCCACCGAGGATGAGCGCAAGACCCTCAACTCGTTGCTCCGCATGGCAATCCATCAAAAACTTGCACTCACGCAGAGGCTCGAAGACATGGAGATGGACCGGGAGCGGTCGCACATGCGCAGGCACACGGGCACGCCGCGACGCGGCCCCTCGCAGCAGAGCGGCTCGTCGGCGCAGCAGCAGCAACAGCAGCAGAGAGGCAGTCCCCACCACTCTTCGTTGCCGTTCTTCGGTTACGGCGGCAGTCACCAGCGTAGGGACTACTGAATGCGGGAAGCTGCAGCAATGATCGACGCACAATTCGAGCAGCACGCTCCGTGCAGCAATTAGGACAGGCATTGCACCAGGATAGCTGCCTTGACGAGTCGGAGCACAGCCAACAAAACAGCTCTCCCGATGTCTTGCAGATGGCTGTCCATGGCTGTTGAACAGGCTGCCGAGATATAAAAGGGAAACATCGAGAACGAGTGGTTTTCCTTACTTGGGCAGCTTGTGCAAAAGCTGAAAATCGGTAGCTGCTATTTCTTCATGCTATAAACGTAATGCAAGGGCAGCTGATAGACACTGCTCCCTCTACAAGCCATCATAGAAACGACTGATATGAATTTTATACTAAAACAAGTAGATGGCATCTACCATGAGGCGCTCCATGAAGATGTACGGCAGTCATGGCCACCGACTACATTTTCCGATTGAGACGACGGAGTGATCTTTTTCCGGTTGGTGATTGGGAGGTATGGCTCGGCAAGAAGTCCTTGGCTTCCGCGGGGTAGTGCCAGCATTATCTGGCAAAGCTCGGTGCTCGCTCTCATCATTCTGAAGACGTGCATCGTAGTTCGACACAGACTGAAACTACTTGTTTTTAAGTCGTGCTTACGTCAACATTCATGCGTGATCACAGCTAAATGCGAGACAGACTCATTCCGGCCCCTCTTTCAGACCCTTCTATCAGCATGATGGGAATGAGTGCAAGCAAAAATAAGTGCGACTTTTTTCACAAATGCCCTGATATTCCCAGTCATGATGAATCTGTCCAAGGTGCGTTACAATGCTTCGGTGTTTTTCCGAAGTCTTGTCGTCGAATGAGTCCACGACAGTTTATGTCATTTCAAAACCATCCTGCGCTGGCTACTTTCGAAGATTGTTTGAAAAGAACCTTCAAAGCGAAATTTTGCGCCAGGGTTGAAGCAGCTATTTTTCACTCGCGCAGCAGCTGAAAAGTGTTTTTGCTATTGTGTTGGGATGTTGTGCAAAGCGACTAGACGTCCACGGGACTGAAGGTTATTCAGATTGGGCTTCTTTGGCACTGCGTCAGCCGAACATGGCCAGCTGGCTGAGCTACTCGGGTGCACTGTCTTTGGCCGTTACGCCGCCCACTACTGTTGCTGTTAATAGGCTTAAATAATGCGTATGCTTCGCGAGAGAGAAATGTGTGGTGGGTTCGTACTTAAATGGGGTGTCGGCAAGATCGACATTATCGAGAGCTCTGGGTAGGTGGCATATCCTGTTTTGACGTTAATACGGAAATTTACGGTGCCGCCAATTCGCCCTGTCGCTTCACCGTGCAGTATTTTTTGAGTGGATAACAGGTAGCACTTAGCATATTGAGACACCTGCACCCTTCGATTTCGTTTTATTCCCACGGTGAACACTTGTCCATGATCAGCAATCACAGATGTTCATAGGAGTAATTTTTATTTTACTTGTCCCATATTATGGAATTGAGTGCATTCCAGTTGAGGGGAGAGCTAGGGAGGGCCAAGGCCAATGCCAAAGTGGTATTTACAAGTGTGTGTGTGAATCGTGTTAATATAATTAAAATATTCCGTTTTATATTTACGTAGGTAGCATGTGTTACAGTTTGTCGTCCAATTTTATACGCAAGTTCACGTGTTGGAAGAAATGAGTTTACTTTTCGGCTAGGTACCAGTAGCATTTCCCTTTTTACTTTTTTTTTTTTGTGGGAAAATTTCTTGTATCGCCTGTGTACCGACGATGGGCAGCTTATACCCTTCCCCCTATTAATGATTTCCCTAGTGACTCACCGGCATTATTTGGTGGCAGCTTACGCGTTAAGGATGATTGTACAGTGGTAGTGTTTGCACTTTATTTCTTTTACATACAGTTGCGCTAGCCATAGCTTAGCTAGTTTTATAGTGTATGGAGAGCAAATGAATTTTGTGTGCAGCTTGAAGTTTCTTATGTTCGTTTTTAGCTCTGCTCACTAGCACGCACTGTTCATTTTGGAGCTATAAAAATGCGCTGAGATTCCCTGTTGGCTAATACTGTAACCAATTAATCATAAGTTATCTTACATGCTTGCCTCTAATGAACTGTTTGGAATACGTGTAATACGTATTATGTGTTTGATAGTTTCAGTCAAAGTGATACCTCGGGCGCCTGGCACCTCATGTTGTTGGCAGTGTGCTTTGGTTCGAATGTAAAAGCTGGAATTGAAGGACGAGGTTTGCATCGGAACATGTTTTCCCGAGGACCGCTTCCCGTTTTTGCAATGATCTGTGCAACTGCATTTGAACTGTTTCTTTTGCGATACGGGCAATCCGCTGCAGCTACGACTTTTTATTCCGATCAGCCGCACCCTCCTAGACTAGTTAATTAAAACGAATTTTACTGATGCCAACAGCCTGAGCAACTACGCGAGTGTGTGCTGTGCATGTAGTGGAACTATTAAAAGTGCCTAACTACTGACTGTGCCTTCCCATGTCCCACCTCCCCCGGTCTTTTTTGAGTTTGTACAACTGTTCTTTTGTCTCCCGTCTCCCCTGAGGCTTGAATGATGTGCAGTTGAGTGTTTCTAGAACGGCAGTACTACTTGTTGTAAAGAAGAGAGGTACTGATTACCGAGGATATTGTGGCTTTGTTTTGGGACACACCGCATGCAGTGCTTCTGCATGGCCTTGTTGAAAAAGTGGAAGAATGGAAATACCGTCTGGAGTTGGCCGTCCTGCTGTGTTTTTTTTTTTTTTTTTGGCATTGCAGGGCGCACCGACCAAGTTTTCGTCCAAAATGTAGCGTTATTTTTTTTTTTCTGTCACTGTCTCTGTGGACTCTCTTGAGAACTGCTTGCTTTGGAGTGGTGTGTTTATTTATATTTTATGCAAAATAAAAACTACAAGGTGCTTGTTGTGAGGTGACAACATTCGAATGTGTGATGTGTGAAATCGGCGTTCCAACGTTTGGCTGGTTGCATGTGGCAGCACACGTGGCTTGAAAGGTACTGACTTATAAGTGTTTGTCAGGCTTAAGATAAGCTGCACACAATTTCTGATTAAATGAGCTAATGCTAGTTAGTATGCTAAAGATAACTAGCCTGATGCATATTATAGTCTGTTACAGTCTGAGAATAAATGTATAGCGGTCACTGTCCTACCCAGGCAGAATTTGCATAGTCTTTCTGAATGGTTGTCTGTTATTTACATGACGTCAGGCAGATTACACACATTTCAAGCATATCGCTTGCCCGCACAGGATCATGTTCATTTCGGTCGGTTTAGGTTGAAAAATTTTATTCCTTGGCAAATTTCAATAACATTTCCGTCATTACTGGTCTGCAGAACATAATGTTTCCACAAGGAACAATGAAATTATAATTTATAATGTGCATAGTATTTGCATTACTAACGAAAACGCGCTTATGGTTAGAACGGAAATTGCCAATCGTTTTGTTGCACAGATTCATGACAGGCGCTGCTGCAGTACTGGCGGCAGAGCGTGCACTTTTTCTTGGGTCGTAACCGATTATAGTAGGGTCACACACATATCACATTATATTACCACAGAATTCAAACAAGCGTAAGGCTTGCTTGATTAGTCTACCATATGCATCCACCGAGAAAATGCATCAATTATGCCCACTTAACACCTGCAATGGGTGTTATATCGGCTAAGCACACATTATGGCTTTTAATTTGGTGGTAGTTAGTGGTTCAGTACAGTTAACTTTCAACTCTGTTAGCATATGTTACATACGAAGAATCAAAACGTTGCGTCGTGAGAGAACTATGACCGCGACACTAATCAGCGTATTCATAAACGAGTTCAAATCTTGAGCCGCGATTTGGTCCACCATAACGTGATCAATAAGCTCCTTTCACTGCCTTGGGCACCTTCATGTGCGTTCGCATGTTTATTACAAGTTTTTCAGCGCGGTTTTAGACAAGCCACGCGCCAAAAGCGTCGTTTTAGAACTATTGTTATTTTGAGTCTGGGCTGACCGAACTTAATCCCCGCGAAGTACTAGAGGAACAACGCCGCATGAGCCGAAAATTTGATCAATGAGGTAAGTGTGCGATCATTTATTCACACACGCGCGCACGCATAAACATAAAGATGATAAAGCAGTCGCACCATTCAGATCGGATGAGCAAACAGAAACATGCTATGCATTATGAAACAGCACAGGCTTTCATCTCAGCCATCATGTTGCACGAAGGGGTTGGGTATGGATTCCATGCCGTCAACGGGACAGATCACAACCACCGCCGTCCCACGACACACCACCAGTCCGAGCGTTCTCGTGTCGTCGGTGAGCTTGTACGGGTCGTCGGGGTCTCGCAGGAACTCCGTGGCGTTGTCGATGACCAGGTTCAAGAGCGGGTCGTAACCTTTGAGGATGCCTGTGGCCTCACGACCACCTTGGAACTTGACGCGAATGGCTTTGTCCAGGTACTTGGAGAGGTCGACGATGCTCTCTTTCCGCTTCTTTTCTTTCTCTCCGGTGTTGGTCGCTGCCGCTGCCATGATTAGACAGCGTACAAATGCGCCGCTAGACTTTGTAATTCGAAATGAACGTTACGAGCAGAGACACGCGGAGACAACGCACAGCACGCAGCCGCAACGTTGGCGGAAAATCCTCGCGAAGCTGGCAAATGAACACAGTCGTGAAACTGTTTTCCAAATATTCTCTGTACGAGATGATGATGATAAATGCACCAACTACTTGCGCCTGCGCCAGCTTTGCTGTTGTAGATATTACAGGGCGCTTATACTCCGGAAAATTTGAACATCAAGTTTTATCGTACATCTGTCATAGTCAATGTCACCATGGCTATAAAAGACTGCGCAAGCTTTATTCGTTCAATGTGTTTTGAGTAGGGCCAATGGTAGGGTTTATGCACTACGTGTTTTTGGCTTACTGACTGCCTTTCAAGATTACGTTGTAGCCAACATGGGGTTGGGTTCGTAGGCATTTGCTTTTCTCTTTTGTGACACCTCTATTTGTAACGCGCTTGTCGATGTTATTGTCACGGTTTTCCACGTGGTTTTCATACGTCCGCGCTCGTTTTCGCGGGACGTCTAGATCTGCCGGTGGCTTGATAGAGGTGTGCCTTCTACGAAATTCGAGTGGCGTTCGACGATGTCAAAGCCAAACGCGAAAGGGCGATACAAGGATAGCTGCTGTTTCGTGCCGTACTGCAGGAGCGGCTACCGGTCCAACCTACAGCGCGCCTCTCTGTTCCGCGCACCACGGGACCCGGAGCGGCTCGCGGAGTGGGAAGAGAGCATCTGCCAGACCGGACAAGAAGTTGACATCGTCAGCGGTGGTATGCGAAAGGCACTTCGAAGAGAGCGACATCGAACGCACGTTCAAGATAGTCGTCAACGGAGTGGTCAACGAGATCCCCAGAGAGGCACCTCTCCTGAAGCGAGATGCCGTCCCGACCATTTTCGACGATTACCCTCCCAGTATCCGCCACCAGATATTGAGGAAGAAGCTGATGATGGGCGTTGGCGAACGAAAAACGGCGTGCGAATCGAACGGAGGGGATGGGATCTGGCGAAGCGTGCTTGGACGTCGGCGCCGAGTCTGACAGCCCGAGACGAAGTCGGTTTTGCGGGTGCAGTCGACGACAGCTGAGTCTGACGGCCAAGACGGTGATGATCTTGCGGATGAAACGATGGTATCGTCCGCCGAAAGTGAAGGACGTTGAATGTACAGGTTCCGCAGATGAGGGTAGCACCGTTTGTGATGACGACCAAAACAGCAGTTCCACGCTCCCGTCTCCTGAACGTTCCGTCCTTCACGCATTCGAAGGAATTCATATTCCATCAACGTGGTCGAGGGTGCCGTGTCTGGCCGAAGGCAGCCTAGCCTACGCCCGTTGTGAAATGGAGGCGAACAATTTTTCGTCCCTCTTCATCGAGAGGATGGTTGTCTTCGGAGCGGTATCGGCCGATGACGGCTCGGCCACCGCAACCGTTTACCTGAGGGGCAGAGAGAGTTTCAAGGAAGTTCTCGGGTCGCGGTGCGAAGCGGAGGAATTTATCAAGGACATCGATGTGGTGTCCCTGTGTGAGGGATGTAGTGCTAAGGCCGACGTCGGCGAAGTTCACAACCTACAGAGACATGTATTTCGCAGAAAGATGTCTCATTATTGCTGGTGCAAAGGGTGAATCGTGTGGGCGCTGCAAACGCGTGCGAAATCTGACGCAAAGACAAATTTGCAAAGGGAAGAAGTGAAAGTGCTCACGCTCGACGATCAGAAACCTCATACACATTGCAGTGGACTCTTACCCCAAAAACAACATGGTTCGTCAGTAGGCAGGCACCAGTGGCTTAAGTGAAAGAATGCCGTCATTTCTTACTGGGAGCAGCTTGTTGTAATCAGCTGCTTAGCAAAGGTCGAGAAAGGAATCGGAGGGAACAAACAATTCATTGTGCTATAATTGTGCGATGGCTGACGTGTTGGAACCCTCGGCTTTACGAGCACGACAGACAAGACGCTGCAGTGCTTCGGCCCTAGCTGCAGATGCAGATAAAAGTACGTTCACAAAGTGGGTACTGGCCTGAGCCTTGTTAAGTCATAATATGATTAGCACTCACACACTCGGCTGCTGTTAGGGGCTTACTGTCAATAAAACAATGTGGAAGAAGCTTGATGTGAAGTCATAGCATCATAAGGTGGGTTGTAAGCTTCATGTGCAGTTGTTATGATAAGCAGATAGCTAGCTTTAGCTTGAATGCCAAATTGTAAACCTTATATTTTTTGCTATTCACGTGACATCATACTTATTTTGGATCCCAGAGAATGGTGCACAATGGCCTGCTGGTAGGTCATGGAACAACAAAAGGCTGGAATTCCGCCGACATCGTCAGTGGGCACGGGAGCAGCAAAGGGGCCACAATGGCTCAAAAACCGCCTCTTCTTGTACCACAGGTGTGTAACAACAACCCATTGTACGCGAAGAGAAGTAGCAATCGCTGTTTATTGCTGTTCCCGTGCCCACGGGTGCTTTGTGCTGTTCTCACAGAGTGTTTAACCTGTGCTGAACTGCTACTGTTGTCCGGGGACGTCGAAACAAATCCTGGTCCTAGTTCTGAAACTCGCACTGGTTGTAGTAGCAGTGCCGAAGGTACATCCAGTAACGACGGTGACAGCGAGATTATGATCATTTTGAAGACTTTGCAAGTGCAGTTAATAAACATACAAATCAGCAACAACGAATTAAAAGACGGTGTTGCGCAGGTTCGCGCCAGCCTAGCAGAGTATGGAGGCAGGAATGGCTGCTATTGGAAGTAGACAGACAGTGGTTGAAAATAAATTGCAAGCCTTAGAATGCATCGAGGGCGGTTTACAATCCTCGATTGACGATCTTGAAAACCAAAATCGTGAACTCCAATCTCGCAGTTGATGAACTCGAAGATAGGGCTAGAAGGGATAATTTGATCTTCCACGGCTTGCCTGATGAACAAGAAACCTGGGATCAAACAGAAGCGAAAAATCCTTGGCTTTAAAAGCTTTAAAATGAAAGAAAAAATTCTTCATGAAAAAAATAATTTTAAAGTGCGCAACGTAAGCATTACTGAGGGCTTTTCGCTGCAACGTGCCTTAGTTCACAGAAAAGCTAGTCCCCTTTGCTAAATCTCAGCCTAACTCTCCGTCCTTCAAATTAAAATATAACAGACTGCTTTTAAACGATGCATACTACTCCTATGACCCCGTAACCGATACGGTGCTCGAGGCAGCCATGCTTCGTTCACACAAAAGCGATGTTCAGGAAGTGACTGCCAGTCCTTCTGAACAAATAAATTACTGTATCACCAAGATAACAGAAAGCGAGGGGTAGTGGTACTGGTGCTTGTTCACCACACGCTTCTATTTGGTTCACAAATATCAGAAGCCTAATCAGCAAGCGCGCAGAACTGTCCGCAGCTATTATTTCTTCATCTGCAGATATTATAGTCTTAACTGAAGCATGGCTCCATAGAAATATACGCGACTGTAAAATCTTGGATTCTTATAACCAGTTCCACTTCTACCGCCGTGATAGGGAGGCAAAGCAGGGAGGCAGGTGTCCTCGTGGCTGTGAAAAAACAACTCGAATCGTTTGCACTCAACATACCATCTGGCTTAGAAATCGTGTGGATATCTGCAAAGCTGTCACATCGTAGGATAATTTTGGGTGCTTGCTATCGTCCACCTAATTCGTCGGCTACATTCGTTGCTGACCTTCACGACGCGATGAACGCAGTTGTATCCCGATACCCCACATGTCCTATTCTTTTATTGGGTGATTTCAATTACCTAGACATTGACTGGTTGGCCGCAGTACCTTTTCCCAAGACCGTTTTCATCTAGTACCCAACAATTTATAGACTTTTGCTTAGCCTTTAACCTCACACAAATAGTATCAGAACCTACAAGAGTTACGCAAACTACCAGCAAATATATTAGATTTAGCTCTTACAAACTCCCCAGATCTCTGCTCGGAAATAACATATATGCCCTAAACTAAGTGATCATGTCCTTTTGAATTTGACCTGTAACAATACAAGTGCAAAAATGTTCTAAAAAACGAAAAACCATTCGAAATTATCACAATGCCAACTTCTCAGAAATTAATTGTGAGCTGCATTTATTTCTTATTGATTACTTAGACGGATTTGATTAGCAATCACTGGAATGCAACTGGGCATTATTTAAGAACAAGATCATTGAATTGACAGAACGCTTTATACCTACTCGGGAAATTACGTGTAATCCGACGGCTCCTTGGTATAACTTCAACCTGAAACGACTCTCTAACCGAAAAAAAAACGTCTGTACTGCCGCGCCAAAACATCTCGCAGTAGTTATAGGTGGTCATTGTACCGTTCAGCAGTCAATGAATATGTTACTGCTGTCAAAATTGTAAAACAAATCTTCCTGACCAATACGATGCCTAGTTTTTTGCAAAATAACCCTAGGAAATTTTGGCGTGTCATTAGCCCAGCTGACAGCTCTTGCATTAGCTCTAACTGACACAAACGGTGAACATATAGCCTCATGAAGAATGTGCTAGTGTGCTAAACAAAGCGTTTTCTGTTGCATTCTGCAACAATCCCACTTCTTGTCTATCCAGTTTTAAAATCCACGACTACATACCGATGTACCCTCTGCAGTTTGACCCTAATAGAATAATCAAAATAATTGACTCCTTTAAAATTTATTCCAGTTCCGATGTAGATGGTATTAATTCCAAATTCCTGAGAAGTACTAAACAAAACTGTTCTATTATACTAGCGAAGCTTTTTGAACAATCCTTAAAACAAAGTAAAATCCCTGCTGATTGGGAAGAAGGGAGGCGGTACCAGTCTTTAAATCTAGAGACAGACAGTCCCCCTTTAATTACAGGACAATATCTATCACTATCATATCATGTAAAATTTTGAAACGCATCATTTACTCTCATGTTGCCAACTTTCTTGAATCCAATTCATTGTTTTACCCTGCACAGCATGGATTTCCGGAAGTCTTTTTCGTGTGAAACCAGTTAATTTTGTTTACTCACAAACTTCACTCTATTCTTGACAACCGTTCATTTGCTGATAGCATCTATTTCGATTTTGCTAAAGCATTCGACAAAGTTCCATACGCGTTACTCCTATTCAAGCTCAGAAATATTGGTCTTGATACTAGCATATAAATTGGATTGAGTGCTTCCTAGTACATCGCCAGCAATTTGTCACAGCTAATGACACCACTTCATCTCTAACCCCAGGTTATCTCAGGTGTACCCCAGGGCACCGTCCTTGGGCCGTTACTTTTTCTTATCTATATCAATGATCTGCCCCAATGTATCTCATCTTCAATACATATATTTGCTGACGATTGTGTCATTTTTCGCTAAATTAATAATGATAGGGACATACACACACTCCAATCTGACATTAATGCGATATCCCATTGGTGCAATACATGGCAGATGGTTCTCAACACTACCAAATGCAAATCAATGCGAGTTTCTCGCATCACTGCTAACGACATATTCGTATTGCCTTGATGGTAACATTCTTGAAGCGGTTCCTTCTTATAAATACTTGGGCATTCATATCACTACTGATCCTATTTTGGAATCTTCACATTGAAAGCATCACCGAATAAAACCAACCGCATGCTTGGCTACATAAGACGAAATTTTCATTCCGCCCCTTCTTCGACAAAACTGCTCCTTTTCAAATCTCTTGTACGTTCACAACTCGACTATGCATCACCGATATGGGATTCATGTACTGAAATTCTCATCCATGTACTGAAATTCATCAACTCGAAATGATTCAAAACAACGCCGCATGTTTCATTTTTTCTAACTATTAGCGAGCAGCCAGCATATCCGGAATGAATAGTAACTTGGGTCTAACATCTCTGACGTCACATCGCAAAATTGCACGGTTGTGCTTATTCCATAAAGTATTCTCACACAATATGCTTCGCCGTGCTTTACTTACTCCACCTTCATACATATCCTCGCGTTTAGATCATGTTCATAAAGTTGGTGTTCCCTCTTGCAACACTAAGGCCTTTTTCCATTCCTTCATTCCCCATGCCTCTAGCGACTGGAACCACCTTCCTTCTAACATTACTACAATCTGCAACCCAGATGTGTTTCGTACCGCTGTGTCTAATATTAAGTTTTAGGCCATTTGTTTCTGTATAGCGTTGCATTGATATCTGTGAAATTCACTAGTCCAATGTATGTATATTTTTTTTAAATGAATGCCGAAAATTGTCACCTATGCTAACCTCAGCCGCATTTTTCGTCATCGAAACAGGAATATTGCGACCTTTCTGAACCGTATAACTTGTTTTGTAGAGGTTATAGCTACTTCTGTTCTGCTGTTTATACTGCAGTTTCCTGACTTGTTGTAATGTATTCACCCACTCCCCTCTTCAATGCAATTTCGTTGAGGGTATTCAAAATAAAAAATAAAAAAAAACGCACTTCACCTGTGTATGGGTAAGCTATGCTCCTAGGAAATGTGCTGTCGACAACAGGTTGTATAGCTTGCTGCTGCACTGAAAAGCTGTGTGATATAATTTTTTGGAAATTGCTTAATAATGGCAAGGTTGCAAACGTTGTTCCTTGAACGACCACGTGGCCACAATGGTTTCTTGTCCACCTTTGCTATTCTCTCTGTCAGTGCTATCTCTTGGAGCTGCAAACTCTCAACAACTCTCTGCATGACAGGAATGCACCTAAATATTTGTAATCACTCCTTCAAACTGTGCGAAGTGAGAAGAGCTTTAAAAATGATATAGTTGGGCATAGTGAATGAGACCCAACTCTTCTAGGGACCCACGGTCAGAGCTGTCATCATCATGGTATTTTCATGCATTGTTGACTTACCGCTAAACAATGCTCAACATTGGTAGCTTCAGACAGAGCAAGCTAAAGGTGAAATTGTGATTTGTGAAAATACTGGAAACAAACAGATGATTGTTCTTTTTTAACTGACACATGATGCATAGTACTGCTATTTCACAAGAGTAATATAAAGGTATACTGAACAGTGTTGACAGATATGAAAGAGAACACTGAAATAACTTTCAAGATTTCATAGTGGCTCAATGTCGGCAAGCTTTTATGACAATAAGTGTTGAAGTGAAGAGGCACATTCTGCAAATCCATACATCATTCTCGTATCGGGACTAAAGTGCGAATTTCGGTGTTCAATCTTCTATGGATCCTACCTGCACATTACTATGCACGTTTTCATTTAAAATATTTTACGAGACAAAAGGTGTAGCTTCAAGGCAAGCAGGACAGACATGTCTATATAGTAAATGTAGTAGTGGCAACTACTGCACTTGTTCTATCTAGCTTTGCATATTTACTTTGTTACTTGCCATAATGTCATTTGGAATAATGTGGCAGCCAAGTAGAATATGTTATGGAATGTATGTACTTTTGTTGCATGAACTTGTAGAAAGGCATAACGATGCAAAGCTTAGTACTGTTTTACCACACACTGCGACCTACTAATAGCGCTCATAGAAATGTAACAGTGTCGTTTGCCATATGTGTATAATTATGGCTGTATTTGATTAGTGTCATGCAGGTAATAATTCTGGTATGCAATAAATGTCTATCAGTTAGTGCCAGGAACAGATGATGCCAACCAAGTTGTTTGCTGCATGGTTCTTATGTGCTAAATTTTGTTTCTAATATCAATAATGATGCTCACATACTAGCATTCAAAACAATGACAGTTATCTCTCCTTTGATGAAAACATGAAGCTTGCTTTATTATGTAGAGACATTTGACACATTGAAAAGGTATAATTGTAACTTGCATACATGATTTTTCTGAGTAAATGTGGTTCTACATTAGGATAAAAGGCAGTCGTAGTATAATTAATGTGGGGGTAAATTAAAATGTGACTGGCTGTAAAACTGAAGTTGCAAAAACGCAATCTCTGTAGCCTGTCAGCTTATGTGTGTATTGATTAGCAGGGGCATTCAAAAGTGCTAACTTCTATCGCTTTACTACTCATAAGATTCCAATTTTTCGCTCTGAGTTCATTGCTGCACCCTTGCGGCTAAACTAATTTTTTTTTCGTTTGTTTGCCGCATGCGCCTAACTATGCATATGGTGTGTTGAAGCGAATGAAGCCATCGCTTTCCGTTCATATATCCCTTCACTCGAGGTCTTGATAAGAGCCATCAAGCATGTTTCATGTCTTGCATAAAGACCGTGAGGCACCCATCCGCGGCATTTTCTACATCGTCAACCGACAGCTGCACCTCGTGGCGTTACAACGCCGCGAAATTCAAGCGTATGTACGCGAGTGATTGCCTTCCAGACTCCCTCCAGGTTCTACAATGCGATGACACGATAATACTTCGGCTCCCCGTGGTACACTGAATATTTTTCTTTATCAGTTTTCCCGCCCGGAGAAGATGTAGTCGTTATAGGAATGCGCTGCTAAGTGCATGTTCTGGCCTAGCTGCAGCTGCTGAAATTTGATGAGGGCGAAACGCAAAAGGCGTCCCCATACATTAAATTCAGGCGTGCAGTAAAATAACGTACTCACGGGGTCAGAAATTTAATCTAGCGTCTCACAACATGCAGTTCCTCGTAACCACGCTGGACTTCAGCCACGTAACGGCACTCCCCGTAATTTATGTCAGAAAGTGTGGTTACAGTTTTCACCAATTAGGCTTTTGAAATTCCGGCAGCAGATGACTCCATGACGGACACCAAAACAAGCGCGGTGAGTTAACAGCAGCAACCGCTGGAAAGAAATTAGGTGCGTCTTTATATCAAATGAAGGTAATGAATGCAGGTTTTAAACGGCTAGACTTAACACAATAAATAAATCGGAAAGATTAAAATCGGGCCAGGACCGACAGACAAAAAACACTTTAGTCATATGGTATTGTACATCACGTCCACGATCATTGTGCGGGACTAACGTGAAATGCGCATACAAAATTGAATGATCGTGACTCATCTCTTAAGAAGAAACAAAACGCCACAACGAAGGCAGGTTGACTGCCACGAGACAACAGCTTAGTTGGCCTCAAACAATGCTCGTGGCAGTCTTGACGAGATGCGCGAGCACTTTGCAACAGCCTGTCTTTCATAGTGTGCTCGTATCCATGACTTGATAACCTTTGGCACATCACCGCGTACGCACTCGATCCAGAGCAGGTAACATGGGCAAAAGCTTTCCAGGTTCGTAGGTTGCTCAAAAGGGGTGGCGCCAAGGATTTTTTTTCCGGGTTGGGGGGGGGGGGGGGGGACCGATGACAACGGTGTTTCTTCATGTGGGAAGGAAAACACAGAACTTATGCCTTGTGTTTTGACTATGATTGCTCTTGGGGGGCAGGCGAGAGTTTTGACAGCCCACCCGTGCTACCCTCCTTTTGCGCCGCCACTGTTGCTCGGACGGACGGTTGTCGCCGCTCATTCCTTCTAAGAGGGCGAACTCAGTCGATCGCGGAAACACTTCCGCACTTGAGGGAGTGTACTGGTCAGAACCAAGGATCTACTTCGATAACTTTCAATCTCGGTCGTTGAAGCGATTTCTGACATACGCGTCCAGTCAAACTTAAACGTCCACGACACAGCCGGACCACTGCTGTCACTGCTCGGCCCGTGTGCATCACGCTATCTAAAGACACTTCATTCGCCAGAACGGTTCGTGATGCTCATGCGTGCCGCGCCGTCAGGTTGTTCATCAGGAAGCGTCGCATCACTTCGTCAACGGCCCTGGGCTGGTCGAAACCCGGGTAGTGTCCCGCTCGAGCGACCACCACGAACGAGAAGTCGCCCGCCGACGTCACGTACCCTGACAGTCCTTCCTCCTGTGGTCCCGCGTAAAAGGGCAGGCGACGGCCGTGCCGGAACTGGTCGGCCCGACTCCACTCGACGCTCCTGTAGTACTCCTCGATGCGAGCCGCCGAGAAGATCGGGTCAAGCTGACCCGCGTACGCCAGGAACCTGTAGTTGTCCATGAGCGTGCTCACGATGTCCGTGACGTTCCTGAAGTAGTCCTCGCTGAGCTGCTGGTTGATGAGGGGCTCGCGCAGGAACTCAGCATTGCGACCCACGTGCACTGCGTCTTTGAAGACTTCGCTGGCAACGTAGTCTCGGTAAGCCGCGAACTCGGCCGGTTCGACGCTCTGCAGCGCGTTACCGTCGTAGGAGTAGCCGGTCATCCTCTGGAACATGGTCGGGGCGCTCCCTTCGCCCGTTGAGACGAACGCGGTTTTGAATAGGAGCTGCAGTGCCTGCACGGTGCGGTTTCCGGCTACCATCTGCCTGATGGTTTCCAGTCGAGTGGTGTACGCCTGCCAGCCCTGGTGGTCGAGCAAGCTCAGCTGGTGGTAGTAGTCGGACAAGTCCAGCAGGTCCGTGACGGGCCCAAGAAAACCGACGCCGCTGATGACGCCTCGCAGGTTTACTGGGAGGTCCGGGTTCGAGTGCAGTCGGATGGCTATTGCTGCTGCGGCCCTAGCTGCAAGCAAGAAGAATAATGATAATTCAAATCGCTTGCTCTCGGCCTAGGCCTACAAATGTACAATTTGGCAAGAAAGTGACAGAGTTAGCCACTTGTCAGCCCTACATAACGCGCATATGTCGGTATTCTGGCAGCCTCAGTTTGCTTCCGAGGAATGTCCAAACTGCATGTTTCCTACTAATGGTTGATATGTGGGGTTTGACGTCCCAAAACCACGATATGATTACGAGGGACGCCGTAGTGAGGGGCTCCAGAAATTTTGACCAAGTAGGGTACTTTAACGTGCACCCAATATGAGCACACGGGCCAATAACATTTCGCCTCCATCGAAAATGCGCCGCCGCAGCCGCGATTCGATCTTGCGACCTGTGGGTCAGCAGCCGAGTACTTTAGCCACTATAGACAACCGCGGCGGGACAAATGTTTCTTAAGATTGTGTACAAAGTCCTTTCCAAATGGCTTTCGATGAGGTCATTTTTTTTCCAAACGTGACAACAGGAACGGCTGGCCTTTCAATGTGACAGAAGTTTTTTTTTAAGTAATTAAGTTATACTTTTGTCGGGCATGCCGTGAACGTATTACAAGTGGAGGGTCATATTTGCTTTCTATTTTTTGAAAAAAAAAATTATTGTTGATCATTGCTCATACGTATCAGATCTAACGAAATGGTATCGGGATTTACTATTTATAAATAAGATCGTTTCGGACTTGTTATGGCAGAATGAAGAACTGGGTTTTATTTTTTTTTATTTAGGTACAAACGCCAACAACGGTTGCGGGATGGCTATCTTTGCGGAGGTGAGATGCATATATAGATAATTTGTTCAACGTCGCCCGAGAAACCTTGTTTCGGCGGGCTGCTGAAAACATTTCAAGGGATTTAAATTTATCTGTAGTCGCTCATTACTATGTACCACATAATCAGACGTGGATTTCCGGCACACAAATCACATTTCTATTATCAGTTTGTGTGTAAGGAATAGAAAGTGCCGTGTTTAGGCAGCAAAACAACCGATTCATATCTTGTGAAGCACCATAGTGCCTAACTGAAAACAAGCACTAAGCAGCAGCGCCGAAGCGACAAGAGTGACACCGTCTGGCCAGCACCTGGTTATATAAGCACGTCGTTACTGGATCTCGGCATAACTGCGGGCAGCCCAGGCACGTGTGCTTCGCCAGCACTGGCTAAGATTTTGGTCATCACTATTGCAGGTACGTGCATTGCACATTAACTCTAGTTAGTTTAGTGTCTGGGCTGCTCTGCAGTTTGTGCATTTTATAGAAGTGACGACAGTCAAAGAAGTTGCTAAGATGGTGGCGGAATTAAGTAGTAAGTTTGACACATTCAGCTCGAAAGTGTATGCAGATATACAAGAAATCAACAATTCAGGGTCATTTATGAACACGCAGTTTGAAGAATTCAAAGCGACACTAGAGAGAGTAAAACATGAACAAACGACACTTAACAAAGAAAACGGTTACCTAAAAGAGCAACCACAAGAAACTCGGACTGAGCTTCTTGAAATTAAGCAATACAGTCGTCAACAGAACCTTGAAATCAAAGGCCTTCCCAGGAAGCCTAATGAAAAACTAGCTGATGCAATTGTCGAAGTTGGCAAGAAACTAGATGTTCCACTGACATGCGCAGATGTAGACATAATTCACCGGGTAACGAGCAAGGACAAAGAACGGCCAAACGTGGTCGTAATGTTTGTATATACCCTCAGTGCGAGATAACGTTTTGAAAGCTGCTAAAAGGCATAGGCTTGTTCTGTCAGACTTTGAACATGAAGGAAGTGAAACAGTCTATATCAATGAACATCTGTGCATTGAAAACAAGGTGCTTCTTGGTAAGGCTACTGCACGCAAAAAGGAGAAAAAATGGAAGTATACCTGGGTTGCAAACGGGAAAATTCTTGCAAGGAAAGCAGATAATTCAAGCGTTCTACATATTAAAACTGAGGAAGATCTTTTGAAGATCTGCTAACGCCCACGACGATGGCTACGAATCAATTATCGAGTGATAACGGTGAAACTTCTATTTGTTCTCTGATGCAATGCAACGTGCGCAGCCTGAACAGAAATATTGACGCACTATGCTCTTTTCTAGAGGTGAATTCTTTTCGATTCAATTTCATAGCTGTTTCGGAGACCTGGCTTAAATCGGGTAAAGTCCAGAATATCCCAGGTTATTCATTCACTTCTATTGCTAGAAACTCTCGCGCACGAGGAGGAGGCGTTGGCCTATTTACTAGAGCAAACATCAAATGCGAACTCGTCCCTCAGTTTTCTTACTCTTATCTCCAGGAATTTGACTTTCTTGTTGTGAATTCCACCTCCATTTTTATTGCTGTTATCTATCGTGCTCCGAACCAAAACATGCAAACTTTCATGCAACATTTTGAGGCATTACTAGCATATTTTACCAGCATCAACTCAAAAATAATCATATGTGGTGACTTTAACATTGACTCCTTGAAAAAAGAAAACAATGAATACTTCCATCTTGTAAACTCTTATGGTTTCCATAATGTTTTTACAAGACCCACCAGGGCAACTCGTAATTCATCAACTTCAATTGACCATATACTTTGCAATTTCGACACTACAACCAGTCAGTGCAACATCTATCATACAATCATCTCAGACCATTATCCAACCGCCATTTTCTTTCCCTTATCTGAAAATATTAGGAACACACCCACGATGTACCGCAACAGGATTAATCTTTGCAGTTTAAAACAACGCTTATTAGAAATTGATGACAGTATACTAGACTCTGGTGGCTCTCATCAACAATACGCCGCACTAAGTGATAAGATAAGGGAAGCGATTACACAATCCAAAATCCTGTACAAAAAAAGGTATCACCAAGAGCCAATTTGTCCTTGGATGACCAAAGATATTTTACAATTAGTAAAGAAAAAAGACTATTGGCACACAAAAGTTAAACAAAATAAGGGCAACTTGTACTATGAAGAAAAATTTCAGGTGGCCCGCAACCTGGTAACGCATTACGATAGTTATAGCGCGAGAACCAAACGACGACACAGAGACAAGAAGGACACGAAAGACACGAGCGCTCGTGTCTTTCGTGTCCTTCTTGTCTCTGTGTCGTCGTTTGGTTCTCGCGCTATAACTATCGTAATGCCTTACCAACTAGCCCAAGCTGCCACACTTCTGGTAACGCAGCTTACCCGTAATCGTAAAAAACAATATTATTCCGAGCTAATTACAAAAAACTCTGGAAATTCAAAGATAACGTGGAAAATTATAAACTCTGTTATAAAACCTATTCCTAATCAATACGTCATGGCAGATACAGATATAATGGGAATATCAGCAGAATTTTTTGTATCAACTTTTAATCAGTTCTTTTGTAACATTGGTAAAGAAATTGCGAATTCCTGCCGTGATGTGTTAGTCGATACGGTTCCGGATAGAGTTGTCAATTCCTTTGGATACATCGACATAACTCCTGCGAAAATCGTAACTCTCGTTAAAGCTATGCCATGCAAACATAGTGCGGGGTGTGATGAGATATCACCATTTATACTTAAAAACTTCATAGACATTCTATGTACTCCTCTAGCAAAAATTTTTAATCACGCATTTCACACGTCAACTTACCCAGATTTGCTAAAAATCGCAAAGGTTGTTCCAACTCACAAAAATGGAGACCGCAGCCTTCCCGAAAACTACCGCCCCATATCTGTATTAAGTTCCATAAATATAGTGTTCGAAAAACTTATCTCGAAATGGCTTCTAAATTTTCTCGATTGAGAGTCTGTACTAACAAATAACCAACATGTCTTTCAGAGCAATCGATCCACTTCCACTGCAGTGCTATTTCTTTCAGATAGGGTCAATTCCTATCTAAACAACAACATGATAGTGATTGGTGTCTTCATTGACATTAGAAAAGCTTTCGACACTGTACATCATGATATACTACTCAACAAATTAGAACGGTATGGCATACGAGGGGGAAGTCTGGAATTTTTTAGAAGCTACCTTACGAACCGACAACAAACGGTTCATTTTCGTAACACTAATTCAGGATTTTCGCCCATTACATCGGGAGTACCGCAGGGATCGGTATTGGGACCTATTCTATTCTCTCTGTACATGAATGACTTCCCTTCAATATTACATAACTTCACCCCTGTCATGTACGCTGATGACACTGCTCTCATTTGTGCACACGAGTCCATCGATGGAGCCTTATGCATGGCAAACAAAGAATTGAAACAAATCTATGATTGGTTTCAAGCCAATAAATTCGCTTTGAACGTTAGTAAAACAGAATATATGGTAATTCATTCCCCATACAAAGTTATTGCTCTGGATTCGTGTGTGCTTCAGGCTGAGAGCGAAACAATAGAAAGAGTAAGTAGCTTAACATACCTTGGAATTGTGTTGGATCATCACTTCAGCTGAAAAATGCATATAGACTCTCTCTGCAAAAAACTCGCGACAGTCTGCTATACTCTTTTCAAATGTTGCCAGTACTTCGATGCGGAAACTTTAAGAACAATATATTTTGCCCTATTTCACAGCCAACTCTCATACTGTATTGAGTCTTGGGGCCATACATACGATTCATACCTAAAGCCACTTATAGTCCTGCAAAAACGTGCTATCCGATTTATATCAAACGCAAACCATATGGCCTCATCTAAACCACTCTTTTGACAGTACCAGGTAATGCCTCTACAACTAATAATAAATTATAAAACAACAATAATGGTGTACAAGTCTCTAACATGCAATATCCCTCTTCACCGCTCCCTTTTTATTCCCTCACAATTGCAAACAAGAGCCCGTCATTGTTGTAACTTCCTAAAACCACTGGTTAAAAATGTTTATGGCAAAAGACGACTTTATAGTGTTGGAACGTCATTGTGGAATAACCTACCAGTGGAAGTGAAACAACATAATGCTTTCACATTAATGCTCAAACGTCATTACAAAGAGCTCTATTAGACTACTGATAAGTTTCGTGAAATGATGAAAAGTGACATGATTTTAAACTAATGTTTTGTATGCTGACCAGGAATGCTATTACCAGATGTACAGAAACATTAGATGTATTACAATAAGTATGCAAACCAAAAACGTGTTCAAAGTGTAGTGTGTAAGTTGGATTTTTCCTCTTCAATGTGTTCGGTATCTGTGTATAAGTTATATGTTTATCAAAACAATCTGCATCTTAAACTAAAATGTCGTTCATTATACAACTCTTTCTCCTGCCTCTAATTAATGTATGTTATAATTGCATGGATCCATACTAGCGTTCTGCTAAAAATCCAGATGTTGCTAACATGTTTTTCTTGTATGTTGTTTACTCATAATAAAGTTCAAAGTTCAAAACTTCAAAGCACTGTATAGTGCTTGTTTTTGCAACAGCTGTGCTCGTCGTCTAATGGAAGGCTTGTTGCCAACGTCGCAAGCAGATTACTAACCGAGACTGCTGTCACTCCCATTCCTTCACTCATAATGCGTTCTTGCGTATGATGAATATGACTAAGAGAAACAACAAATGATGGCGCTGGCTAACACTCCTATTGGCTTTCATAAACAGAAATACTTGATATAGTGGACGGTAGGACGACCGCCGATTGGACGCGTTATCCAAAGTTCTTAAGCTCGGTCCCGGCTGGCGGAAAGTTGTCTTTTTGTCCCTTTGAATATTGTTACACTAATGTCAGGGTCACTGCACTGCAGCTAAAAACTGCAAATAACCTTTTCTTTACATTCTTTGGTTCGGCTTCATTATGCCGTGTATATACAAAGAAACCAGCCCTGGATCTACTCCCCTTCTTTCGTTCAATAAGTAAGGATTTACAGGCAATATTGTCTCGTATTTTCAAAGTACATTGCGAAGCGTCACGCATTTACCTCCGTAGGACTCGCCAGCAACGTAGAAATCACGACCCTTGTACTCCGGGAACAGCTTGAAGAACTGCGCCAGGAAAACGTGGATGTCTTGGGCCATCTCTTCCAAGGTCGTCGGGTAGCCCTTGAGATCGTCGGTCCGGCTGAACCCGGCCCCCACGGGCTGGTCCAGATAAATGACGTTCGTGTACTCGCACAGCGTGTACTCCCGGGGGTACAGCTTGCCGTGTGCGTCGATGGCGACGGGCCCGTTTTCGAGGAAGTAACCGAAGAGCGAGGAACTGCCGGGGCCTCCTTGGAGCCAGAGCAGCAGGGGGGCTTCTAAGTGGTTTTTCTGCAAGTCAGGTAGCGCTAAAATGACGGAGCTGAAATAGTCGTAAGCTGTATAGACGTAATAGCTCTATACGCACTCACGTGAACCTCGTAGTGTTATAACTTTTCGTCCAATCGGTATGCCTTTTTTAAGATAAGGTTCCATGAGTCACCGATTTCGGTGGCGGCAAGTGCCGGAAAATATCGTCAACAATTCTCTGCCGGCGAGCGTACGGAGATGCGGAGGTACGCCAATGATGCCCTTGAAAGTGCACCGGTTGCATAAGTATATTTGTTTGCACTGTTTTCAGTTTTTGCTCTCTCGATCGTGAGCTTCCTTCTCGGCGATCAGCCGTTTACGATGTGGCAATCTGTTTTTTATTATTGAGGTCACTAATCATGTCACGTCACCACACTTCATTGTTGCCGGCATACGAACGCATGAGGGTTGTTCTTGCCTGTAGTAAACGCAGAGTTTAGGGCCGTTCCACGCGCTTCCCACACAGCCGCAACGCACGTGCCGGGACCCCTACCGCACGCAAGCGGGGAACAAATAAGCCAATTGTCGACGCTCTTTCACTTTCCGCAGCGTCGCCAATTGGTTTATTTGTCCCCCGCTTGCGTCTGGTATGGGTCCCGGCAAGTGCGTTGCGGCTGTGCGGGAAGCGCGTGGACGGTTCTTAGCCCTGGATTGAAGGAAGCAGTCAGGAGGGAGCATTGCTCGATGGGAAAGAAGCTAAAGTACGTCGGGCACGCAGAAGCCAAGCTTGGGTTGCTGCCTGCACTTTCCCCAATAGGGGCAGGGGCTCCCGATCTCTTTTCTTGTCATTTTTGTTTTCTGCTGGGAACAGGGTACAAACACTGCCCTGAAACGCTTTGGAAAAGAAAAAAACAACAACATAATTCTTCGTCTTCGTGGCAGTGCGACAATGCCTTTCCCGTGCAGTAGATATTAAACGAAATGTCAACGTTGCGAAAGGTTATGTTCGCTTTTGCGCAAGCGCAGTTTTTGAGAGTCGAGCGCAAATCATACTTCAAGCGTGCTATAGGATCAGATCTTCCCAACGATTCGCTTTCATTGAAAGACAGCCAGTACGAAACGAAATATTTCCTATTATGTTCGATCACTGTTGATTTCACTCATTTACAAAACATGCATTTTATAAGCGCACCGCGACAGATACTGTACATCTCACGACACACACCCTTACGCCTCGCACCATTCCCACGACGCGACATTCTATTGTAATGAAGCTGTGCAGATGTTCCATCTGTGACAGACATTGCTCAAGTGTTTGCGTTCCGGTGATTGTATCGAAATTTTATTTGCAAGTGATCTATAAACTGCAGCAGACCTAGAGCACCAAGTCGGGGTAGTTGGCGGAGGTTCATCGCAAGGGCTCTCTTAATTGCGCTAGCAAACAGGGACATGGAAGAGGGACGGAGACTGGACTTGGAATCGTGCAGACTCAATACTGAATTTTCGATGGATTAAAGAGAACATATACATGGAGAATAACTGTACGAAATAAGTTCATTGTTCATACAAAAAAAAAATACGGGACCAGTCGCCAAGCATCAGCTAAAAACGGCAGCCTGCAATAAGAGAGCACAAAAGAATGCGGGAACAGAACGGATGCGGGCTCTGCCCTGCATTGACACTCGCTAATGAGATAAAAGGTTACGGTGATTGCCATGTCTGGGTACCCAGCGCCAAGAACCTGTCTGTGACGTCACGTGAACGCCTTGCTTACGGGAATCTTACCCTGGCCTGCACGTGCAGGAAGAAGAGGTGACTCCGAAGTGTCTCGTTGACGGTAACCAGGCCTGCGTGGGCTTCAGTTCCGGTCTCCTTGTTGGAGAACATGGACACCACACTGAGCTGCCGGACATCGGTGGTCTCGTCGCTTTGGACATGGGGAGTCAGGTAGAGGGCGCCTTCGTAATTGTGGCGCCTTGAAGCGTTCCGAATGGAACATGGGTGACATTGTATTCGTCACAACTTTAGCCATTGTCGCTGTTCATAATGCATGACTGTGACACATTTGGATACACAGAATAGCTCTGCAGCTATATAGCTTCGCATTAAAGTGTGGTAAGACCGTATCGGATTACTAGGGGAAGCCCCGCCGTGGTGGTCTAGTGGCTAAGGTACTCAGCTGCTGACCCGCAGGTCGCGGGATCGAATCCCTGCTGCGGCGGCTGCATTTCCGATGGAGACGGAAATGTTGTAGGCCCTTGTTCTCAGATTTGGGTGCATGTTAAAGAACCCCAGGTGGTCGAAATTTCTGGAGCCCTCCACTGCGGCGTCTCTCATAATCATATGGTGGTTTTGGGACGTGAAACCTCACATGTCAATCAATCAATTATTAGGGGGGAAAGCTGCTCGTACAAAGTAGTTTGCCATTCAGACATTACATCAGTGGAAGTAGATCGTTGCTGCTTGCCGTTAGACCAAGCCTTGCTAAACTTGTTCGCACGTTACTCGCCGAGAGCATTTAGTAAAGTTTGGCAGGGCCTGTAGCAGCAAGCCGTGTACCACATCACATATAGGTTCACAACAGGCTGAAGTAATGTACATGACTGAAGGCAATAAGCTGTACGCAATTGTGAATTCTGGCCAATATTTTGGTTATAATGTTCGAGGACTTCACCATCTGCCGCGGCGATAAGGATCAGACGTTACAGTGTAAGTGAGTGAGTGAAACAACTTGATTGGGTCCACAATACGCGCGAGTTAATTAGATGTCACTGGGTATACGCCCACTCGGGGATGGCCAGGTTAAACTTGACCGCCCTCGTGTGGGCCCTCTGGACGGTTAGGATTTGAGAGGTGAGCAAAATTTAATGACGTAATAGAAACGAAATATATAGGAACATGAAAAAAGCAAGATGTAGTAAACTAAATCGCAAGTTATGTACGCAACAAGGAGAAAGATGTGTCAAAACAGAAAAGCTGAGAAGTCGTCCTGAATTAATTGACCTGCTACTCAGTATGCACGCTATATGTAACAGGAGAAGGCCTAGAAAACTTATGTAACAGGAGAAGGGCTAGAAAACTGTTAGGGAGATAATTGGTGTCTAAGTACTTTCGTGATGCTAGTGTTGCATCTTCTTTATCGACACATTGGAACGGAACGCTCACGATGTCTACGCTTACCATGTGATAGAAAGTTCTGATGATCTGAGAGGCTCGGTTAGCTTGTTTCCGAACATCTCCTGGGGAGCTAATACGATATAAGGGAGTTGATACCGCGCTCTTGCTACTTGAACAACATGACTTCCCGAGAATTACCAGCTCAGGTGGCCAACAGAACCTTTGTCTTATAGCGCATTTTTAAGGGGTGAAGCTCCTAAAGCTGTGGGTCTGTCCATGAATGTCTCTTGTGACCGGTTCGTAACGACCTAGTTGGATGACTCACTAGCAGGTGGCGCCAGTGTGAGTGAACGACAGACGGACCGACGACAGACAGAATGACGGACGAACAGATGCACGGACGGACAGTCGGACGGACGGATGGAAGCAGGGACGCACGGACGGACTCATGAACGGACGGACGGAAGGACGAATGGAAGCACGGATGGGCGAATGGACAAACGCACGGACGGTTGGACACACGGATTGACGCTTCGCCCCACTTATCATTATTCACTACGTGGATATGCTTAATTTTTTTTCAATAATAGTAGGCAGAAAATAACATTACCCCACTCTTGTGAACGAATTTGTTATATTATGCGCAAATGCAGCAGCAGTGGAACGTGCTGCTAGCAGCCGATATTCTTTACCTCGTGTGGCATTGCCAAAGACTTTTGAGGCATATACAGAAAAGCATGGTAAGCTTGTGCCATAGCTGAGACCGGAAAATTTCGAACTATTGATAAGGCTGAGTGGTTACCCTTGGCGTGAAGAGAACGCACCAAAATCTTCTACATGACAACTGATGGGGTGCTTTTAATTGCACCCGTTTCAGGACCATTTCCTTCTCCATCGGCATGCACAGTAACTCCACTAGGAGGCAAGGGGAGGGGAGTTAGCAAAGTAAGCATTTTAACCACCACCGCATTATGAACAATGAAACACTGACTTGCCACCACCTTCGATGCGGCGTTTCCGAATGCGGGGTATGCTAACACTGCGTGAATCACTGTGTGGAAGCTTACTGATTAATACAGATGCTGGATGATATTGAAACTTTGTGCGCTAATATTAACACACTTTCTTGACTGATAAACTTGCCGATTAGTACATAGAAATGGCATATGCCATTCGAAACAGCGATGAAACACAAAGAAGTCTGCTAATTCTGCAAATTAGTGAGTGGTGCACCGCTGGATATTGTGCAATAAGTGCACCTATTTAAGTGAACACTGTCCACTTAAATACGCGCATTTTGCCAAAGGCCTTGCACGCGTGCCATTCTGTCTACTTCTACGTTAGACATGCAGCGTCACGTCAGTTGTGCGTGTGCACCTACTCCTGCGTACTGACCGGCCGCAGTGATGGGATCAGTTTACAAAAGACGGCGCCGCAACGGAAACGCCAAACCTTTGCAATGCGCACGGCGTAGTGGCTTCGTGTCGAAGCGCGAACGAAGGCTCAACTTGGCGGGACGGCAAGCAGTGCCTCGCTCGCGGTACGGGAGTGCTTGGCGCGTTGTGAGGATATAAGCGGCCCTACAAGCGACGAGGATGTGAATTCTACTATAGAAAGTAAAGGCGTTGTGTTTTCGACATTGATGTCGCGTTAAGCATAAGTCAGAACGATCTTCTCAAATACGTCCGCCTCGGTGGAACAGCAGCTATACGGCGCCCGGCTGCTGACCTAAGGTCGAGGCTTCGATCTCGGCTGCGGCGGTCGAATTTCGATTGCGGTGAAATGGCGGAGGCCCGCGTATTGTGTGATGTCAGCGCACGTTAAGGAGCACCAGATCATTAAAATTTTTGGAGCCTTCCGCTATACGGTGTCTCTGATAACCATACCGTGGTTTTGGGACGTAAAACGCCAGACAGCGTTAACAAACAATCTAAATCCCAGCAGAATTAGCGCTTGGATGGCCGTGGTATTCCCATTTAGGTCCAAATAGTAGTCCCATTTAGGTGTAAATTAGGATCGACTGTATGCAAATGTGTCAATATAGAACAACATGACTTGGAAGGCACTGCGTTCGGGCTAGTTGATTTCGAAACACTCAATGTTGCATTCCAAAAAGAAAAAAAAAAAGAAAATAAAGTGAGGTGCTCTTTCGAGCGAGGTTTAGTAAATAAGCCTAATTAGCGTGTTTTTAATTATTCTGTGGCTATTCATGCTCTATTTTTACATAAAAAATTAAATCATAGCCTGAAAATGTGGGTCAGTAGCCGAGTACCTTAGCCACTGCAGACCACCGCGGCGGAGCTGACATCGATATTTGCCGCTATACTGAATATGTCAAGGTGTCAAAGATGTTGAGCAGTAAGCGCCAACTTGGCCGGACTCAAGTTCATCTGGAATACATTCAATGCATATGTCATCGGAGCTAAAGGCTTCCTGTTTTTTGACTCCTTGTATAGTTTATGCGCATCCTGTTTTCTCTTGCAAGGGCGGACCGTTGTCGCGCCAACAGCACAAATGCTTCTGTTATTCTTGCTATTGGCTACCCGCGCGGAATAAAGTCTGAATGAGATCTTTAAAAAAAATCATAATTGTAGGGGCAGATATAAGCGTGAAGACATGAAAAATTCGTGAACAGGGAATGCGCCTTGGCCGACGTTTCGGCAAGCGGGCTTGTTTTCTACTAGGCTGCAACTGCTTAGCGCTTGTAGCAATTGAAGAAGACATCGGCTCCCGTACACACCCTGTTTGCTAATTTTTTTTTCGCTTGTACGGTATGAAGTTAATGTAGGTTTACGTTGTCCCGTTTCACTCAGATAGCAAGAATGTCCCTCATCTAATGCGTTTACTCTGTAGCCATCGTGCAAACTCTGTAGTTTTGTCGCCTTCCCGGAAGTTAACAGCTTCTACAGGTCTGCTCACCTGTTTCTGGGCACAGCGAAGGCTCCGATGAGCGCCAGGCAGACGGCGAGCAGGAGCACGAGCAGCACGATGATGACGATGCGGCGTCCCTTCATGGTGGTCGCCAGGCGACCGATCGCCTCGTCCACGCGCTCCCACAGCGGCTGGCCCTGCTCCTCGGACTCCGGCTGATGTTTGAGGTACGTGCCGGAGTGCGGCTGGCCGGCCTCTGCCGCTGCGACGGCGGGGGGCGCCGATGCAGGCATGCCTGGGCTCTCTCCTCGCAGCCGAAGGCCGCGGACACGCTATCAGCAGCCTATGGGCTCCCCGCCGGCTGTCTGGCTGGACGCCCGAGCACTTCGGTCGCAGGCTGTCTGTGGGTCAACGGGGCTTGCGATAGCGCGTCAGCCGACGCTGCCGTCGGTGCAATGCTTTTTCCTCGCGATTTCAGTCGTGCCTCGACGTAGGGTGAGGAGCTCGGTCGTCCTGCACGGTACAGTGTGAACGCACTGCTTTGTGGAGAGGTGATGTGCTGTCGGGAGATGGTATGCAGCGTATGCAGGCAACGCTTCGCGCCACGCGTACGATTCGCGCGGCTCGGGTTTCGTGTTTACAAGCTCGGCCCCAAGACCGCGCTTGATATATACGCAGAAGCGGAGAACGCGCAGTGGTAAGCCGGAACTCAGGGTCTGGTGGCCAGAAAAATGAACACTAGCTGGGGTTTGCGTGCCAAATCTAGGATATCATCATGAGGCACACCATAATGAAGGGCTCCAGAAATCCCGACCATCAGATGTACTTTAACGCGCACTGACATAGTACGGCAAGCAGAAAAGTGTAGGTCTGAAAATTAGTATGCATAAAACGAAAGTAATGTGCACAACAGTCTTGGCAGAGAACAGTGCTTTGCGATAGGTGTCGATATACTGGAAGCTGTAAAAGAGTGCATCTACTTAGAATAGGTAGAAACTGAGGAGCCGAACCGTGAAAGTGAAATGACTAGAAAAATAAAAATGGGGTGGAGCACATTTCTCGAGCACTCTCAAATCGTGAATGGTAATCTGCCACGAAATCTCAAGAGGAAGGTATGTAGAGCAAGGTATGTACCTAGCCAGTACTTACCATGCGGAGCAGAAACCAGGAGGCTCACAAAGAGGGAAAGTTCAACTTAAATGGAGGACTATACAGTGAGAGGTGGAAAAGAAAATTGTAGGTTTAACCTTAGACAGGAAAAGAGCAGAGTGGGTCAAGCAACTGACGGGGAGTTAAGGATGTCACAGTTGAAATCGAGAAGAAATGTACGTGGACCGAACACTTAGCGCTTACACAGGGTATTCGCCTGTCATCAAGCGCAACTTACTGGATTCCAAGGAAAGTCAAACGCGTGAGGGGGACACAGAAAATTAGGTGGACGAACGAGATGAAGAAGTATGCAGCTATAACGTGGCAGCAAAAAGCACCGAATCGAGTCGATTCGAGGAAACGGGGAAAGGCCTTTGCCCGGCAGCGGGCGTAGTTAGGCTGCGGTGATGATGATGATGATGATGACATCTTACAGTACACGGGCCTCAAGCATTTCAACTCGATCAAAATAAGACCACCACGATACGAATCGAACCCCCGACGTTTGGTTCAGCAGTCGAGCGAAAGGGGCTCTAAATGCGGGCGTCGAGTTTTAACGGATTACCAGTGGCTGAAATCCAAAGAGATCACAAGGGGTAGACACACATCTTACTATGGAGGCCATTTTGTTTATATAAATGTTTGTTTAATTTTCACTCATAAAGAATTTAAAACTACACCTTGAAATCAAATGAAAAAACGGTCATAGGTTTCCAACGGCAGTAATTTCATTGTTTTATTGGTTCTTCTCAGAAACCTATTCAGCTGCAGTTGCAATTTCAGTAATCCCACACACCTGAGAGCTGTGCCAGCAGGTTTCGTATAACCGTTCGATGTTCAGTTTCTTTTTGTTCCTCCGTAATCATCGGTTTCTGCAGTAAGAAAAAAAGGATGTTGAGCAAATTTAAAATGAAACTCAGGGCCTTCTAAGCCTGGGACGAGGACTCATATAGCAAACGTTATCAGCACGTGTTGGCGCTTGCTTACGCTATCAGCTTCCGTGTGTGCTTACGCGTGCTCTCGGCTGGTTGTCTGTCGCACTGTGGATAAGCGTCAGATGGATAACCATACTGTCAAGACGAAGAGAGATGGACGAGGGATTCATTTTGTATTCGCGCGCCGCTTCAGTTTTGCTTTTGCGCGGCCCGGATTTAATGGGACAATAAAGAGGAAGGTGATCTTTAGTGTATTAGTAAAGTGCAATTTCACTGTCCCGAAAATCCCTCTCTTACCGTTAGATGGCACTTGGTAATCGAGGAAACGGGCGAAAAGAAAATGCGCGCGGAGACGCCAGTTCGACATTCCCGCACCAAGCAACAAGCATGCCGTCTCACATTTTGAAGGCGTATACTGGATCCTACGTAGCTTGTAATTGACTGAAATAAAGTACATTGTCGTCTGTGGGCGCCCCATACCTAGCATATGATGTGTCGGGAAATTTTATTGAACCAATATTGCAAAAATGCGAAAAATTGCGTCAAATCGAAAAAAATAGAACATCAACTTTGATTTTTTTCTGCTAATAAGAAAATTATGACAGTGGAAGGTGTGCCATTAAAATTCTCGGACTGCAGTTTATCGATCTAATTGAAGCCATTGTTTCTCTTTAGTGTCCCTTTAGAGCGAAGAACACCGCCGCGGTGGTCTAGTGGCTAAGGTACTCGGCTGCTGACCCGCAGGTCGCGGGTTCGAATCGCGGCTGCGGCGGCTGCATTTCCGATGGCGGAAATGCTGTAGGCTCGTGTGCTCAGATTTGGGTTCCCGTTAAGGAACCTCAGGTGGGCAAAATTTCCGGAGCCCTCCACTACAGCGTCTCTCATAATCATATGGTGGTTTTGGAACGTTAAACCCTACATATCAATCATGATTTAGAGCGAAGAAAGGTCGATGACAAAAATGCCAGGGAGATGAAAATTAAAAAAAAAACTTTTTGGTCGCAGCTGCAAAGGAGCATTGCCTTAGGACATCCTCGTTGCATTTAACGCAGATACAAACAAAATATCTACAGCATGGTACACAACGAGCTATCGAAATTTATTTTGTGCTTACAAAGGAATATGCTATATCGTTGCGTCATGTTTGTTTTCTTTTGCTCTTCTAGCTACCTCCCGCCTTTCACTTTATTTCCCCTATCCGGTCGCTATTCTTTTTTGACACTTCGCAATATGCCAGAAAACGATTCGCGAGTCTGCCTATATCGTCTGTCCTGTAGTACTTATCTGCTCCCTATCTCGCATTACGAAATGAAAGACGAAATTATGGTGGAATAAAAACAAATTTAGGAGGGATCATTGAGCAATGCGATGTAAAGAAACCTACATAGTATAGGTCTGACACGATTACGCAAAGCTCCACTTACCTCTATTTTCTCGATAGGGGAACGGCTCCAATTTTTTTCTTGCAGAATTGCGAAACATGAATGAGTATTCGAAGAAATGTGCTGTTCGAAGAGGCGAATCTTTGTTTAAATCAACCGTATAACCGTAGTTGATCGGCCCGGTTGGTTCAAACGTTTATTATGCTCACAACTCGAAGTCGTGAAGTGAAATAAAAAAAAAGCACAGAGATAGCATTTTGGAGGTATCGATATTAATGCGAAAGTTTTCCGTATTTTGAGTCATTCGTACATTCTGTCTTGTATTGTGTCATTTAGGAAGTTGTGCGCAAGCTAGCCAAGATTCTTAACTGGCATTAAACGTCGTGGTAATCATCTATAAACGAAGTAAGCTGCACGGCAAAAAAGAAAGCCCGGGACTTTCATTTACCTGTCATTACTGTACACCATCGAGACCATTTGTGCTTCCAATGAAGCCACCACATTTTAGATGTTATCAGGGGCTTCACACTAGATAGATATGTAGAAAGGATATATATATATATATATATATATATATATATATATATATATATATATATATATATATATATATATATATATATATATATATATATATATATATATATATATAGACAGATAGATAGATAGATAGATAGATAGATAGATAGATAGATAATCAGACTCAGACAGACACCGGGCTGTCTGTCTTGGCCGACCGACCGACTGCCAGCTTTATAGTGCTTAAGTGAAGGTTCATTTGAATAACTTCAAATGCGCCTGGAAGTAAATTAAGAAATGACGCACATAGCTGAAGTTAACACGACGTTCTAAGTTGCATGACGCTTCCCATGCAACTTGAATATTTTTCGCAGAGTGTCTCCGGCGAGAAGGAGATATTTGAAGGAGAGGCGAAATGATATTCTAAAAGGCTTGTCCAGAACCCAGCAATGTAGAGCTTGGTCATTATCGTCTTCTCAAAGATGCATGAACTTTCATGCTATATGCAACCCGGCAAAGATAGTCCGAATGAGTTGTTTTAGGCCATGTTATGTATTTCTGAATAAACTGTAATGAAAAATATTATGGCCCCGCCGTGGTGCTCTAGTGCCTAAGGTACTCGGCTGCTGACCCGCAGGTCAGGGATCAAATCCCGGCTGCGGCGGCTGCATTTCCGATGGAGGCGGAATTGTTGTAGGCCCGTGTGCTCAGATTTGGGGGCACGTTAAAAAACCCCAGGTGGATGAAATTTCCGGAGCTCTCCACTACGGCGTCTCTCATAATCATATGGTAGTTATGGGACGTTAAACCCCACATATCAATCAATCAATCAATCAATCAATCAATCAATCAATCAATCAATCAATCAATCAATCAATCAATCAATCAATCAATCAATCAATCAATCAACAAAATATTATGAAACAGAAGAGAAGCGATAGCTGGCTTGGCTGACGTTAGTAGCAATGTCGTATACGTGGGAGATACGTTATCGCAACATGGATGTTCGCATTGATGCGATAAGCTTCTGTTTAAGCTCGCGGACGTCGAGACCGTGCTGTGTTGTTACACGCGAATCTCGAGTTATCTTGGTCAATGCCGATACGGTTTGAGTGCTCGCACTGACCTATGCAACAAAGAGTACGCTGCAATGTGTAGATAGTTTCGTACGCATGCCTGTGAACGCTGAGGCGTAAGCAAACTCCGGTGTTATCTCTTCTGTCGGAAGGAATGTCTCTTGCTCGCGCAGCTCTCTAGTGCCCGTGGCCCCTACTGATTGTGCGTTCGTATCTAGAGTGCCTATTTGCACCAAGAAAAGTGACGTAGTTCAATATT